AAGCCTCACGGAAACTCTCTTTTCTCTTTTCCGCGTGCACGGCGAAAACGCGGGGGAGCGACGCAAACTTTTGTGCAGTGCAACCTGATCGGGGGCCTGAGCGCGAATTCGCGAGCACTGAGAAGAAAGAGAAGCAGCATCTTTCTCTCTTGCTTGCTCGCTTGCGATGGGGCCTGGAGGGTGATACTTTGTTACTGCTTGTGCACGCCTGGCTTGATTCTCTCTTAAGGGCCTGCGAAACACAGAAAATCAGACCGCAAACGTGTTCCAGCCAGAGTCACTCACTACTCACTCACGACAAATAAAGAAACAACAAAATCTTTTTATCCGCGTCAGCAAAATATTTAAATAAGTTTGCAGCAGCACGAGATGAAAAGTAGAAAAGTAGGAAGCATGCAACCGGCCACGCGGCGAGGCGCGGCGCGTTGCCTATGCTTGAGGGTGCGATCAGGGGCGCCGTTTGTGGGGCGGCGAGGCATCGATCGCCGGTGCCACGGGCCCTGCAGACGGCCGTGCATTGCGGGTGGAGGAGCAGACGCTATAAATCGCCCAACTGGCAACGACCCAACCCAAAACTCGTGACGTCACTTTTCTCCTATTCTAACGAGTTCTGTCTTTCTTTCATACGAGAGAGATAATTCCCGCCTTCCAAAGCCGCTCCTATACATGTGTGTGCGTGCAAATCTGATTTAAACTAGATAAATGAGAAAAGTTCAGGGCCCCTCAGAGCGATATTATTGTTGGTATATTTATGCTAAGGGCCTAGGCGGTCTTCGGGTATAATGGTTTCCATTTTGCGAGGGTTTATCTGCCTGCTGAGAGTCAGTTGGATTATTATTGTGGCCCGAGAGAGCGAAGGACGTGAATTATAAAAAGCTTTGTAGGATGCAAACATATAGGAAAATAACATAACTCTAAAAATAAGTATGTTCAAATAAAACAACTATTAAAATACTTTCTTTTAATATTAAACATATTTTATCATACATTATGCTTATTAAAATAATTTCAGTTTTTTTATAACAGAATTTTTTTTAATAAAATTACTTTTACAAATATATTTCATGCGGCTTTTAACTGTTTTACAAAATTTTAATGTTCTTAGTGACCACAAAAATAATTTTATATTTAATGCTATGCAATCAATCCTTATGCGCATTTAATTAGAATTACTTACATCCTCTTTGTGTGGAATCCTTTCATTGTATATATTTTCTATTATTTAAAATCATTAAATAAAATCACCATAAAATAAGTTCTGGCATTAGAATGCTTACTATTCCTCTTAATCTGGATAAATGAACAATTTTATAAATTTTTTTTATTTAATAAACAAATTTACAAATATATTCAAATTCATCTTGCATTGTTGTTGGCGAAAAAGAAACTAATTCGTATATAGAAAAAGAAACAGGCAGTTTGCCCCCTTTTTACAAAAAGCTGATTAGTCGACCCCGAAAGAGCCAAGCAAACTTCTTGCCGTGTCGGACCGGCTCAGAATTGGCCGATGCCCATTAATCAGTCTGTTTTTATGCGGTTCATTAGAAAGTTGGGCCGAAGAGCGTTGCCAATCAGAGGTGGCGGAATTCATTATTATTCCCATTCGGTTGGGCCAAAACTTTTTGTACAGCGATCAAAGAACTATATATGCGGCACTAAAGCATAAGCAACTTTGTTACAGATGCAAAAAATCCTCTCCGAGAAACTCTCTTGCTGACTGCACGTTTTTTTCTCTCTCTTCCCGCGCAACGTTTTATTTTTCGCTTCTGCAACAAACGCTCAGCAATTCGCACATTGTTATTTGCTCAGCTGCTGTTTAATAATATCTCTCAATTAAAGGCAGGAAACAAGTCGCCGTCAGCAGCTCTGGAAAGAGACTCGTGCATGATAGAGTGGTTGCTTGTTCGGCGCTGCTCCTGTCCGCTTATCGTGCAGCAGCCACCAATCAATCAGCCACAACAATCAAACAAAACGAGACCAACCAACAGCTCTGAGGGGTCGAAGTTCATTCGGTGCTAATGTGCATGCCGTATAAATCCATTATTATACTATTTACCTCAGAGACCATAACAAAAGTGATCAAAGCCATGGGAACGCGCACGTGAAACGAGAAAAAGTTCCAAAAGTTTTGTAATAAGACCTACATTTGCTAATTAAAAAGTTTGAATATTTTAAAAGCAGCAGATCAATTTTGCACATCCGCAATACAAGAATATCCATCGAAAATTATAAAACTTGATCTTTCTGCAACCTTATTTTGACCATTTGTGACTTCAGAGTACTTTTAAAAATTGTCTACAACAATTTTACAATCTAGGGTTGATTGATCGTTTTTTAATTCAATTCGGCTTTTCTTTAATGTCTTTTTTTTTCATTATTTCAATAATGTTTTGCCCTGCGTGTTTTGACCGTCGGCTGCAGCCACAATTCATTATGCTTTTTCATATTCATTTTTAATTAATATTTTCAAATTCAAACAAAAGTATCCAAATAAAATTATTTCGCAAATTGCAAACTCGTCTATCAATTGCGATAGTTCATATTTTCAATCAATTTGCAAAAATTGTCAGCTGCAATAAAGCAGCTCAATCACCGCCCGGCGCAATAACACCGAAATTTCATCCTGCGCCGCCTCGTCTCAAAAGGACATAACAACAATAGCACTTGAGCGGAATTATTTTCGAAGCAAGAAAAATAATAAACGATTCAGCAACGACAGTATAAAAAAAGCAAAAAGGAACTCGGCAAGTGAGGGAGAGATGGATCTTAAAGGTGGTGTGGCAAGAGCGCGTCTCATCACTTTTTACACATTAAAGGGGAACACACGAAACACTCGCGCCGAGCCGCTTTAATAATACACATAAAAGCGAAAGAGCGACGGCGGCGTTGGTGGAGCAGAGAGAGAAAGAGCGAGCCGGCGCACGTTGGATGGCGGAGGATAATTTTCTAGGGCGACTGCTCTGCGATGGGGGGTAGGTGGGGGCTGCATGGGAGGTGTACGGATGTGTGAGTAGAAGTGTGGGCAGCTAGGAAAGCAACAGGTTATCTCATCCGTGGCACACTCTTTTCTCTCTCTCGCTGTGTGTATATTTAAATGAGTGTCCTTCCCTCTCCGATCTCATTGATATTCAAAATCGTGCCCCACTCATATTGCCTCTTTAAACGACCAATTTTTCGCTCTTTTCGTTCCGAGAAACGTATATTTTTATATGTGTGTGAGTAAAATATTATGTTATTATTATTTTACCTCCGGCGCTGATGAGAGGAAATGAATGGATCTGAAGAGTTTTTGCTCTGGATGGTGCTGGAGGGAAGTTTTTTGAGTGGATTTCTTTTGCACTCTCTCGGCGCTACTTGAGCACTGTATCAATACGAGAGAAGATGACGATACGAAGCATCTCTTAATAAAATCAAATATGATGGGAATATATTGGAAAACAGATGCTTTTATTCGCGTCAGTTCAAATGGAATCTGATTTTTGCATATCATACAAAAACTGTACTAAAAACAAAAATATACTTTGAAACTCTTAAAATAAATTTCATTTAAAGTTTAAATTTCTTATTTTAATAAGTCATATCTAATTTAATTAGATGATTAGATTGAACAGCAAATTTTAAATGAGGCTAATATATTTCTAAGTGCTCAAAATCTAATTTATAAAAAACACATAATTTAAAATATTAAATTCAATTCACTTAATTAAATACAATATTTAAAACTTCCTTCCAAAATGAAAGTCTCGCTTGGATAGAAAGAAATTACGACAGCAACACTTTCCGAAGCCAGGGGCCATACAAAAGGATGAATGCGTGAAATGATGCTAAATTTTGCACTTATAATGAGTTAATTAGCGTCAGATGGTGTGTACAGCTCCGAGACGAATGTGTGTATGTTCTCTGGTGCTTTCAAGTGTGCACACAGTTTCACACTCACGTACACATTTGTGCCCAGGAGCGATATTTTAGTTACATTTGACGCTGCTTTTTGTTAGTATTAAACTAACATTCCGCAGTTATGAGACGATATAGTGATATTTTGCTTTTAGCAAATGGTAAAAATTTCTAAAATAAATAGCGGAAGAAATAATTAGAAAAGAAAAGAAAAACTATGAGAGAGAATTAAATGGTGTTTTCAATTGAATAAAATTCATCTGTTGGTTTTTATAAAGAAGTGGGGAAAATTGAAGGTTTTGTTGCACCAAATAATTTCATTCAATATTAAATTAAATTCAAGCTCAATGCAGTGTATAAATTTAATCAAACTGAAAAACTGCAATTAAAAACGATCTTTTTTTAAATTTAAATTCCTTTCAAATAATATTCGTTTTGGAGAATAGAAAACTTTATGTTTAATATCGATGAAGACTAAACGATAATAAATTGTAACTCTTGACATTAATTTATTATTAATATAGCTTATTGCAAATTATAAATTCATGCTCTCTTCTTAATTACATTGATGGTTAATTCAAAATAGTCATAACTCATTCAAGCTTGTCGGCATACCTTTATCAAAACTGGATCATTTTCCCCAAGGAAAGCTTGATCATAAATAATTAAAAAAATATCGTTCTGCTCTGGCGAATAAATTCCAATATGCATAGGCAACCAACCAACCCAAGATTGAGCATTTTTTTTTGCTCACCAAATATCCTAGACGCCGAAATCGGTGCTACTTTTCGTTCGGAGGATTGGCCCGAAACGATATCCTCGGCGTGTCCTCTGTTGCTAACTGTAAAAGTCGTCACGATTGGCGAGGCGAGATAAAATCACGCGGCTCAAAAACCGACTGAGTTTTCCCTCGGTTTTCTTGTGTGCACTTTTATGGTGCATGCAGGCGTGCATCGCATGTGTGTTATTATCGGGCACAAACACAACAATAAATAAAGTGCCCCGTGCGATTGAACATTTTTTTTTTATTTTTTATTACGGGCAAGCCATTTGTCACGACGCTATATAGGGCGTATTTCAACTTTTGCTTATCGCTCGTGTTGCAGGAGTCCCTGCGCCGCATCACACCATGATGTCGGCGCCCCATCACGTGGCCGCGGCGCCCTCGCCCTTCAGGTCGCCGGGCGGAGGGGTGGCTGGAGCTGCGGGAGGTTCGGTGCTCAGGACAAGCCCGTGGCCCGCGACGGCCCACGCCCCTGAAGGTTAGCATCTTCCATTCGCAATCGATTAAAATTAGTTATTTTAAATCATACAATTAGGAGGAAATTTAGTTTGAATAGGATATTTAACGATTTTTTTTCACTGAAGTTAGTTTGCATTGAAAATTAATTTTCGAATTCGAAAAAAACTAATTCCATTACTAAGATATCAAATGTTTTAATACATCTGTAATTGCTGGATCGATCGATAAAAAAAGATCTCTGAACAAAATTTCACATTATCATGTGCTGATAGTATTAATAAATAATAAAAGACATTGTTGCAGATGTTGTATTATTGTATTCTAACAATATAAATATATCACAATTATTTTAAAAATAATACAGAAAAAACTGTGCGTTATAATCTAAATTCAAGTAATGAAAAAGAAAATACTACAATAATAAAATTTAATGTAATATTTGAGTTTTAATATAAATAAAAAATTATGTAAGATGATAATGTACACGGATTATTATTATTTTTTAATGCGTATGACAAAATTAATGTATCAGAAACCCTTCTAAAACTAATAATTAAAAACATAATTTGAAGTAATAAATTTGGGCATTAGAAATACTGAAATAAAGAACCGTTTAACTGGACCGAGGAAAAATACTAAGATTATTACTGTTAAATTTTTTTAGTTTCCATAGCTTTATTGAAATATATTTGTCAGATAAATTGAATATAAAATGATTGATTTTTAAAAGAAAAAGTTTAGCCTTGAAAACAATAATATACACAAAACTCCATAAAATAATGAGAGGCTCTCTCAGAAATTATTGTGGGTTTAGAAGCTTTAGAAAATATGTGCTTGTGGTGTTGTCTATACTTTTTATTTACATAAACTTAATTTTTTTTTTATTAAAAAAAATCGCTTCCTTTTCTAAAACCAAATTATAAACTACATACATATATGAATGTAACAACTAGAATAATCATTCTCATATTTAACAAAATTTAATTTAATTTTAGAAATTTAAAATAATCAATTGTTTTCTAGAAAATTGTTGCATTTTTAACAAAAAGGCATCTCCACTGCAATGATTTCACTAAATCTTAAGAGATCAGTTTTGGAAAATTTTTAATTTTAATTTTTTGTTGGATATTTACACATTATTGTTTATGTCAGTCAATTAAAGGCCACGTTTTTGCCCATTCTTAAATTTACTCTTCGAATTTGATCTCTTGCGAGCGGTGCATTACGCAAACCGATGCAGTCCGGAGTTGATAAAAAGCTGCAGCGCTCTGCTCGAGCGAATAATCCCAATGTTTGTTGGCGCGCTCGGGCGGAATGCGCCTCGCGTAGCAATAAAACGCATCTTTTTCTCTCTCTCTCTCGGGCACAGACAACACTCTTGTGCGGCGAAAACGCGCGTGTTCACTTTATCTCGCGGCGTGGGGTGTATCTATCTATGTTGCTACATTATGTGTTTCTTTGCAGGCTTTGGAAGGTTTGCCGTGGGTGGAAGTGTTTACTCGCTCTTTCCTTCCGTCCCGAGTGCCACGGAGGCGAGTGCCATCTACTCCCAAGGCTCGAGCTCGCCTGGCGCGAGGTTCGGCGCCGGCCAGGCCACCACCACTTTCCACGGCTTTCTCGGCACACCGCAGAAAGGTCAGTTCACTTTTCTCAATCAACTTAGTTGTTTTTTCTTTATAGGAAAGGAGAAAAAATAAATTTATTTAACATATTAAAGGATTAATTGCGAAAAAAAAAACATTCTAAACTAAATGCAAATTTTTCGGCTCAAATTTTGACTGCAAAGGACTTGTCAATAAAGTCGCTCACAAAATTATTTATCATTTTACTCTACATTTATATTAAATATGATTTTTTTTCTTCTTATTTTGTGACAAAACTGGTGTTCAAAGCAAATTATGACAGTAAATTTTCATGTCTGTAAAAAAATTATTAAGGCGATCCGAAACTAGGCCTGCAAGAGAGTTGGCTTTTGGATCACCCTCAATATAATATAATGAATATAATGAATATAATAATGAATATAATGAAATTGGCATTATTTTCAAACAGATATGGAAATTCAGTAAAAGTTTTGTGGTTAAAAGTCCATAAAAAGTGTTAAAATATTAAGTCGAAAAATGTAAGATTTAGCAATTTTTAGTAGCACAAGCTTATCAGAATGAATTAAAAAGAAAACCAAGACTTATGACCAGTCGAATGATAAAAATGATTACATTTCAAATAATGTAAATAATGAGAAATTGAGTTTTTCTATACAAAGTAGATATTAATATGGAATATTCAGTGAGTTTATAAGAAGAGTCACGCAAATATACTTTTATTGATATGAGTTTCAGACCTTGAAAGAATTATAAAATCTAGCATTTGTATTTCCCAGAATTTTAATTATTTTCATAATAAAAATCACTTTTTTAATAAAAATATACAAAATAATTAAATAATTTAACTTTAGAATACATAGTAAGAATTTTCTTAAAAAAGTCTAATTTTTTTTAAATCTGATTCATGTTTTCAATTTTTTATTTTTTTTTTTTTTATTTATATTAAAATAAAATACGAAATGGAATCAGCGAGTTTCCTGAAAAACAATTATCTCGTCATAAGCGGAAGGAAAGGCCGGTGGCTGCTGCCCGCTTGTCACGAGTGACAAATTGGTTGCATAACCAGCTGCGATGAGCACACTTCTTGCTAATTGCGACATCTCCTCTTCAGGGGACACGCTCTTCTCGGCGGGCTTTCCGTTGACCCCGACGTCGATCCCGCCCAGTTCGCCGCAGACCCTGTTCCACACGGGAGCCACCGCAGGTTTGTCCCCGGCACTGGCAGGGTCGCTCGAGGACAGGGGCATCAGTCAGCTGGAGTTGATGGCCAGGGGCTTCCCCGCCCTGCCGCAGATCGCGCAACCCGCGCGAAGGGTGGAGGAACAGGAGAAAAGGGTTGAGCCGAAGGGCAGGGCGGCCCGCGGAGCCAAGGAACGCAGACAGACCAAGGCCGAGAGGAATCGCGCCAAGGAGCTCGAGGGGCACAAGCAGCAGCCCGACAGGGTCACCTGCAGCTGCCCTGTCAGCAGGGCCACCTGCACCCTCACGTCGGCCAACGCCGTGCAAGCAGTCAACCCTGTCACCACTAGTGAGTAACATTCATCATTTTATTGAAATTTATTTACAAAATTAAAAAGAAAAAATAGAGAATTGTTGATATGTTCATTTATGTAATATTTAAATTGATGATATAAATTTTAGATAGCTAAATATAATCCTTAATTGAAACGTAAAAATTAGAAGATAATTATAGTTATATTCTGACATTTACAATTTTTTATAATTTATATTTAAATTATTCAAATTTACTGAGAATAACATATATTTGATTTAAAATATATCATAATGATAATATTATTTATATATTAAAATTGAATTTTTATTTTATATTTTTAATTTACATGTTACAAAGAAAATGGTAAGCACATCATACAATTAAATATTACATATTTGTTGACAAAAATTTAATTTAATAAAATAAAACAGGCCGACACATACAAAATTATTATATAATCATTCATCAATACTTTTTTCATGCATAGGAAGTTATAAATTTCTGCTTAAGATCAAAAAAATAATTCTATATATTTTTGTATTAATGAAAGAGAAAAAATTCTTCTATTACTTATCATAGAAATTCCTCCAGATTTTCACGCAAACGCTTTTTTTTACCTTTTCCGCAGGTACAAGCATGGCGACCTTCGCGTCCTCATCGCCACCCTTCCACTGCGCGATGGACTCGATGACGGCCGCCTCCCTGACGGCCTTCCACCCGCCCAACCTTGCCCCGATTTTCCCCACCCTGGCGAGCGACACCCTGAGCGGCTGCAGCAGGACCAACCCTGTGCCTCCGCGCAGCAGGTCGAGCGACGCCAGTTCTTCCGGCAGGTCCTTCAGCCCTGTGGTGATCAAGAAGGAGGCGGGCACACCCTGTCAGGTCGACGAGGTCACCACCAGCAGGAAGGAAAGGGGCAACAACCCCGTCGTGGCTGTGCAGGCGATCAAGTCGGAACCTTCCGAGGACAGGAGAAGTCAGGGTCCTCTAGTGATTGCGGTCACAAACAGCGGCCCCTCCACTTCAACCTCGGCCACTGGTGAGTGCAAATTTATATATTTTTTAGAAATAATTAATTTTTAATGTTATAATTTTATTTTTATGAAATATTTATTAATTGAGTGAGAAGAAGAAGAAAATTTTAATTGAAATTCAATACTTAAATGAAATATTTTCAAGCAGCAAAAAAATGCCATAAAATTAATACTGTATTGAAAAATTTATACAAATTTTGTGAAATTAAAACTTAGTTTTACAGTGGCTTTAATCCCTGTTCAGGACTTATTGGGAATAAATTTAATTTTGCAAATTGGCTTAATCTTTTTTCTAGACCTTTAAATATCTAATAAATCACTTCCATTTTTTTTTAAAAATTATGCTTAAATTTTCTTTCTTAATTAACTTTATTTAAATAATGTGACGTCAATTTTTTATATAACTTATGTGATTTCTGCAATCCAAAGCATTCGTGCTGTTTGCTATAAAATTAGAACCAACGTTCAAATGAATTTTTAAAAGGCAAATAAATGTTGCAAAACGTTTCAAAATTAATTAAATTAATAACTGGAAGCAAAGCATCTTGATCGCATCTATCACTGTCCGTTTAATTATTTCGCGAGACGTTCTCGGTCGAAAAATGCCGGTGGCAAAGTCCAGATCAACAAACAAGATAAAAATTCTTAACTTATATTATCATTTTAATACTTAATCTTTCGACAACTTCCTGCCAATTAATTTAGTCCTCGCGCCAATGAAAAAAAATCGGTCATTACGAACTGATAAACTCGACTAATACATGCATATTTTGCGCCTCACCTCCGGCAATTTTGGATGTTGCCCTTAATTTCACTAATTCCAGCCTCGAGACACGCTAATTTATGGCCAAAGTGGCGAGCCGTGTTTGTTTAAACGCGAGTAGCGTGTAGTGGAAGATTCTGTGCGTGCTCTTGTTTCCTGTGCGGTTTTCTTATTAGCCGAGCCGAACGCCTCTCCGACACGTTGTAGGTGCAAAGGTATATATTTGCTCGCGGGACGAGGGCAGAGAACTGCAGCAACGAGAACAGCCAGGCAGCGGCTCTCTTGGGGAGAGTAAAGTTTGCATGCGAAACTCATTCCCTCGTCTTTTCATCTCAAGCGGATAACGCTTTGAAACTAATTTAGAACAAGTATAAAGCATTAAAAACAAATTTTTAAAATTTATAAATTAAAAGCAAAAATTTAATATTAATATATCACAAATAACTTACACAATTTAAAAGATTAATATTTTTGTCATATTTTTTATTAATTTAATTATTTATATAATTTTTTGAAATAAAATTAATTATGCTTTGTTCATTTTAGAAATAAGCTTAAATTGCTTTTTTATATTTACATAATCTAATTGTTTAAAAACTATTTAAAAAGACACTTTCCACTCATTATGGAAAGAATTCCATCTGAATAATGATTCTAGACTATTCTGGACTTATAAATCCGTTGACATTATTAAAAATTAGAGTTGAGAAGTTGAGAAAAAGATCGAATATATTGTTAAAAAAAATCTCCATTAATTATTCAATACATATAATTCATTTTGCCATTTTACTCTCGTTTCATTTCAACAATTTTTACTGAAAACTATGTTTTTTTTTTACAAATTTACTATGAGCATAAATTCAGATTATCCCCTTCCATTGATTTGTTTATAATTTCCCCACCACGGCTTGCGAGAGTTTTGGTTTTTAAATCGTCCGAGGCTGCTCTTTCATTCAGAGAAGATTTTTCACTGTCAGTCACTCTGCGCTGAGAGATTCGATCAGAAAGCGGCGGGCCATACGTTTTGAATTCAAATGCACAAAACGGACGCGTAACACAATCGATGGAAATTAGTTAGACGCGCTGCTTACGATTCCGAATGCACCATTACCGTTCGATAGCATCTGTGGCGTTGCTTGGGATTCAGGTCCGCGGCCAATTTCCATCCGAAATGCACGCAGCCGGGATTCAAATTTAACTACTGAGAGAGGCCGAAGGCTTTTGTTCGCTGCTTCTATAAACCGTCCAGTGCGTTAATGACGATTCACTCAGGCAAATTAATTGAGATTGCTGCAAAGTAATTTTGAATTTGATGATATCTAATTAATCAGTGTTTTATGCCTCAGTCTATTTATTGTACTTGCACTTACTTTTTTAATATTTTTTTTCTTCAAAGAACGGTCCATTTAAAAATTGATCAAATCGTCCAAATTATTTCTTCAACGCCCATTTTCTTTTTTTTCGTGGTTTTTTAAATACATATATGGTGGATATTTTTATAAATTAAACTCAACTTGCCCAAGTATTATTGTAATTTAGCTCGTCCAACAAATTTACTTAAACTTTGATTTTAATTCTGGCCATCCATGTGGCCGATTGCTTTAGACTAATTTTAAAGCCAAGTCAACCAGATCGAAATTATTATTATTTTAGAATAAAAATTAAGCATTTAATCTGTTATGTTAATCGCTATTTAAAATTAAATGACCAGTGGTAATACCAGATAGACTCTGTTGCTAATAAAATATTTAATATTTGATCCTACTAATTTCAATACTTTATTACACATTTAAATTATATATTTATTTTTGTTTCATGATTAGCTTGTTTAATTTTTATCCAACAGAAACCACACCACAATCCAAATTTTATAAAGACTAACGAGTTTAAAACATAAATCGTTTAATGAGCTATAAACTAAAATAATGTTAAAAATTGCAAATAAATATAAATATTTCATTAAATTTTAAAATTAAATAATTTTTTAAATTACTTTTTATAAATTATTTTCTTTACGCTAACTTTTTTGAGTGACTTTTATTATTTACAAATGTTAATATTTTTGAAATGGAAAATGAGCTGCAAACTTGACGCGCTGAAATATTTATTTCAAGACAAAATATAACCCAAAAATTTAAACACTCTGCCGAACCGACTTATTTTGGTCCAGCGAGGGGTTGCTGGCTGCGGAGTTACAGGCGAGACGATAATTACACACGCCGCGACGCTGCAATTGCTCTAATCCACAGAACTCACGCGCCGAAATGGAGATACGCAGCCTCCAGATCAACCCTTGCTCGCGGATTCATTGCTGTTGTTTGCACACACACACGAGCTGCACAACCCTCGCTCATTAAAACAAAAAAACGAGAGATGTGCGTCTCATCATTTTTTCGCAGAAAATAAAAATACAAACAAAAAAAGCACCGGTTGGACAGGAGAGCAAGTGACACGGAGAAAGAAGGGCTAACGTGATATTTCGCGGTTGGACGCGTAGGCTGAAAATTCTCTCTTTATCGTCGGCTGAAGTGCACAAAGGACGAGCAACAAGCGCGCCCAACTCGGCGCTAATTTATGCGTGAATTTGTGCGTTTTGTGAATGATCATGTGAATGATTTCGATATTCAGCGCGTCACTTTTACGCACGGCCGTAAAATGCAAATTTCCACGGCTGGTCATTCGCTTTTATCACCGCTTTATTCAAATTCCACGCGTTTTCTAGGAAAGCACGGGGGGCCTGTGCGAGAACAACTCGTTCCATTTGGCGCAGGAATTTGGCCAGGCGATTATGATATGCGCAATTTTAAAGCTTCTTCCGCGTAAAACGTTTCATGCACTTGAAATTTTATGAATCGAGCCAAGAATGATGGATAAAATAAATACGCACTTGACAATAAAAGAGAAAATATTTCAACCGCTTTAATGAGGTTGTCTATGAAAAACCAAAGAGCTTGTAAATGAAACAAAAATATGAACCATATTTTCCTGGAAAGACTTAAATTTGTTCATGTTTTTAGCCCCTCCAGCATATAAACTTCATTTCCAAATAAGAAAAATAAAACTTGCTCAGTCCTGGTTGTAACCAAAATGCTCGAGGCTAAAATTTGATGGGGGAAGATCTAATTTTTTAATAATTTTGCATTGGGGACATGGTGGCCTTTCAGACTATGTTTTGGATATTTTAATATTTATAATTTTTCCATTTGTGACGCCATCTCGCCTCTTATTTTACTCAATTTTGAGTACAATAATTCCAACTGATTATGAAAATTAATTTTAAAAGTGATTTCAATAAAAGTTTAGGATCAAATTATAATTTTTGTTTAAATTTCTAAAGACACTATAACTAATTTGACATTTAATTTTTCAAAGTGCGTTGAGAATAAAATTGTAAATAACTGATTATTGGAAATTTAAAGTTGTGAATCAATAAAATTTATAATTAATTTCCACCTAACACCAGCAGCAGAGTATTTCAAAATTTTCAAATATTTTACATTATGACATTTTTATTTGCACTTTACTATCCATAATTATTTATAATTTCTTAAAACGAATTTTCCCAATTAGACTGATTTCTTGTTCTCAGTATCGAGCATTCCTGTTGGTATAGCCGTGGCGCGCCAGAGGAGTTCCTCGCCCATCAGGGCGATGGTCCCCGAGGAACTCTCCAAAGGCAAATCCTCCAACGTGCAGGACAAGCCCAGGGAGGACTTCCGGGTGTTGTTGCCGGCCAGAAGGACGGCACCGGCGCCATTGGCCCCAGCACCGGCCGTCACCGCCACGGCCACTGTGATCAGCACCATGGCGCCTGCGGTGCCAACAACTGCGGCCCTCATGGTCCATCCGCAGGAGCGAACGGCCACGATCATGACTTCATCAATCGGTAAGAATCGCAAACATTTAATAGGGTTTATTTTATATATTAGGAGAAAATATCAATTTGAAAAATTATGTTGGTTTTATAGTTTAATTTAATATTTGTAAGATATATAGCTTTATTTATTTACTTTTTTTATTTTCAAGTTATATAATTATTATTTATAATTTTTTATTTTCTTTTATATTATAATATTTTATCAAGCAAAATAATGAATACATCATGATTTAAATAATTATATTAAAGAAATAGCGTAATATTTTATAGCTTTTATAAAAAGATGCGTTCAACATGTAATGAAATCATCTATACTTCTTGCGATCAATTTCTAGGAATCATCCTCTTGAATTACATAAATTTCAAATGATTGATCATTGATTAAATATTTAATTTAGAATATGAATTTAAATCCATAAGGACACAATATTTGTAATTTTTAACACATTAGCCTGAAATTCGCTTTGAACTAAAAATATTTATCATGAGTATTACTTTTTACTTTGTTCAGAGTTTGATGGGAGCTGTTTTGTCGTAAATATTCACATGAAAAAGCTTCAAACGTTTGATTGCCAGGAAATGAACAGACAAGCACGCGCTCTTTCGGATGGGAAAATTGCCCTTGCATTGAAAAATATCTCATCGGAAAATAAAATAAACGCCGAGCGGCTCTTTTCCTCCATTCGCGCAGTTGAAACGTCAGGGCGCAAATCGCTCTATCAGAGGCAGTGTGTTTTTATTTTTAGATTAGAATCTCTTTCTCTCTCCGCGGCCCATTAGGAAATTTTCCGCGCGCTTCTCTCACCTTTATCGGCCACTCCGATCTGATTGTTTTTGCTCGTCCCATAAGTAATAATTTCATTTCAGACGTCAGATCAAAAGAATGGCGATGGTTGATGATTAACTTTTAATCACTTCGGTTTTATAATTAATTTAAAGACCAACACGATAAAGTGTCTTGACTTTTTAAAATTAAATTTTAAAAGAAGAGAAAATTTTAAAACTGGAAACGAAATTGCGATAAATTAATTCGCACCAAAGACCTTTAATTTTGAAAATTAGAATGACCAGAAGTAACAAAAAGGTATATATTATTTTCTTTTTAAACAATAATGTATTTAGATGGATTAATATTTCATTTTCGTTGTTTCTCGAAATTAATTTAATAACAAATCTGGACAGGCTTTTCCCAAGGTGCAAATTAAATTTGGGGGAAAATTGAAATTTTGATTATTTTTATTGCAATTTTGAAGCCATTCAGGATTTTTTGTAAAAAAAAAAAAAAAAAAAAAAAATCAGTGCATTTAATAATAATTCACTCTTCAGAGTGTTTTCTTTTATATAAATTGTGACGTCACAGATATATTCATCGAGCAGGTAATCAGGTGCCAACAATGGCAGGGAGAGCAGTTTTCTGTCATCCGGTTTTTTTTATACATACAATTTGCATACACACACACTTGAACTCGCTCGTGGTATTTTCTTTCGCCTCTCCTATTCGATGGCATTTTTTTTTTATCTCTCTCTTTCCATTTTATTTCTTCCGTCGATTTTTGCACACGGGAGCTAGTTGGGCCGAATTAAAAACCAGTTCTGCGCTCAAAGTGCGTAATGTAATAATAAGCACTCTTGGGGCTGCCGAAAATCGGTGCTGACACATATTGTGCACGCATTTGCCCGAAAAGAGGAGGAATTCCAACAGAGTTACGGACGCGACGAGGCTCTCGTGATTGCCCGCGTGATGGAAAAAATTTCGCTTGTCTTTTCGGAAACGTTAGCTGCTCCGACGGTATTGAATTTCAGCTCTGTGATCAGCCTTTTTCACCTCAATTAGAATTGCCAGGGGAATAGGGATTCTTTATAAAGAACTTCCCAGAGGTGATAGCAAAAAAAAAATCAAATTCATTCCTTTTGTTTTTAAAAATTTCACAACTATTTAATTTTGAATTGGATATTGCGGCAATTTTTTAGAACTTTTAATTTCTCTCAGATAACTGTTAGTGTGCGTGTGTTTTTTCTGTTCAAATTAGTGTAGAGTAGTGTTTTGTTTGTGTTGTAAAGTGTAAAGCAGTTTCAGGGTTAATTTTTGTAAGAGGTTTTTCCGTGGATTTACTGAAACTGTGCGAGAAACACTTGACTTTAAAGAATGGAATAAATAAACCAAAATTTTGACTTTTAATTGAGGAATTAATTTTTTAAATGTCTCAAAAAGTAATGTTTTTGAGTCACAAAAAATCAAAATTTCAATTAAAACTCGGAAAATTAGGGTAAACAGAGCAGCATGAAATTTTGATTTTTTGTGACTCAAAAATATTAATTTTTGAGACATTTTAAAAATTAATTTCTCAATTAAAAGTCAAAATTTTGGTTTGTATATTCCATTCTTTAAAGCCAAGTGTTTCTCGCACAGTTTCAGTAAATCCACGGAAAAACCTTTTACAAAAATTTCAATTTCTCATTTATTTGATCGATTTCAAATTCAGTTGTTATTTGTCTCGCCTAGAATGATTGAAATGAAATTTTATATTTGATTTAATTTTAAACATTCCTTTTTTATTTACAGTTTTATTATAAAACGAAGTTAATTTCACTGATGGTCTTCAAAGTTGGCTCATTTTTGTACGGAAAGGCAAAATTTAACGTAGATAATTTCGTTATCAAATTCTTTCCAAGTTGCACTCTTGACAATTAAAACTAGCGGAAAATCAATTTATTTTGCATGTGGGAATTAAAATAAAATGCAAATGGCGACCCGAGTACGTGTGTGTATAATATTGTGCACATATTACTTTGGAAAACGAACACGGCAACCGCTTTCTTTTGAACACACACACGCATTAAAAATCTTCAGCAAAAACAGCACCCGACCGAGCATTAAAGAAAAAAAAGAGAGAGGAAAAGCTGGCGGCGCCTTTCAGTGTTTTCATTCATACACATTGAAATCGGGGTGCTCGAAAGATCACTCAAGGGTTGTTAATGACTGTGCAGTGCTGCAACCGCCCCCTGCGAGTGCGAGCGGGCCGAACGCCGGAGCCGGAGCCACCCTGCAAGTGCACACCACCGGGGGTGCCGAGGACGCCGTCACTCAAGCCTTGGCCGCCGCCAGACTCTCCAACGGACTACCCCCGTGGGCGTCGCACGCGGCACCCAACTCCGCCCTGACTCCACCTACCTTGTGGCTTGGCCAACCGCAGTACCAGACAGGTAGGACCCCGTCGACCCTTGCAGGGTCACAAACACACCAAGGGTGCAGCGATTAATCGCGTGCGCTTTCCTTCCCTTAACACACACCTGTCTGCCCCCTGTTTTCGCATCTCTCCCGAAATTACACGCGCGCCTCTCGCGCCGCGTGTAATTGCAGCAGTAATTATTATTTCTCCGCGGATTCGTCTGTCTGTGTATTACACACGCACCTGGTAGATAAATTCAGAACAGGTTTCTCTGCCGACAAAATGGCAGAGCGATTTTTGCGCCAGCAAATATTTGCGCGATTCGTTTGCAACTGATCGATTTTGTCTGTGATTGAAACGCGCTTTTCCATTTTTTTTCGTTTTGCTCCTCTCTAAGTTGAAAAAAATTCAAATTTTTTTTATACAACCGCAATAATTTTTATATAATGCCTGTTAATTTTAAAACATTAAGATTAATATTTTGCCTTAACTTTAACTAAAAAACCTTGAATGCCTCTCGGATGGTTTAGAGCGCGACTTATAAAGATTGTAGAGTTGATAAAACTATTTCGAATGTTCCTTTTTCATGAAATTGTTTTTTAGTTTTCCTTTAGTCTCGCGTACCAAATTTTTTTAGATTATAATTTAATCGATTAATATTCTCATTCGAGCGAGTCAAGGATCCAAAGACTATTCATACATATGAACTTTATAATTCCACTCCAATTTATTATGAGTTGAAGCACATAAATTATATTTTATTTAAAATTTAGCTGCTATAAAACAAATTTACATGAACAGGGTAAATTGTCTAAAAAGGTATTATATCATTTTTATTTAAAAAAAAAAATATAATAATAAAATATTAATAAGTAAATATTTTAAAATGTTTTAACATCTAACAAAAAAAATTAAATCATAATGCTATTTTTATTTTTTGTTAATTTCTGACTGTTTTTTGGCTGTCCTTAGCTGTATAACAGTTATATGAAAATTAAAATTCTAAATTTATGTTACATCAGCGCGCAAGTAAATAATTTAATGCATTCCTAATTTCAAAGTTATGCATCACGCTTGACCGTGGAGCTATTCAGGTTGCAGCTCAGTTTTAAATAGGGTGTAAAAATAAATAAGGATTTTTTTCATCACAAAATTTTAGTCGCTGAACGTTCCTTTGTGAATGAGGATTTAAAACAAAAACTACAGTTCATAATTTCTAAACAAGCCGCAATTGACTCTCATAATTTAAATAAGGAGTAATCTTTGCCTCCAAGATTTCTTGCTATTTATTTATTACAAATTGACGGCTAATAAAGAAAATACATATGGAGGCTCAAGTAATATACGATTTAGTAATACAATATTGTACATGCATTATGTACAAAGATTTCTCAACAAGACTCGTTAACAGAACAAAGGCATGCATGCATAACGCTTTTACAATTTCCATCACTCCGTTTGTCTCTCTCGCACACACACACACACACACACACACACACACACACACACACACACACACACACACATACTACTCAACTTGTGATTAAATTATCTGTCGGCGTGGCGAGGAGTGACTCACCTTGCAGCGCCTTGCAGATTATTAATTACTCACTAATCCGTCATTCCACTCTGACAGGTCCCACCGTTCAAATAGAGGCCGCACCGCCGCCTTCGCTGCCCCCGGTCGGTCTGCAACTGGTACGCGACCCGATGACGGGCCACCTCATTTTGTTGCCAGCCACTAATATGGGTGAGTGACCCAATCAAATGATGTTTAATATTTAATACATCAGTAATAATTGTCAATACAGTTATAAAAAAAAAATATTTAATTCTCAATTTTTTCCATTTAAAATGCACCAATTTATAACTTCTAAATTTAATTTGAATTGAATTATTCTTTCATACTTAAATTTAATTTAATTTTTAAGGAATTTAAGAAATCAAAATAAAGAGCGTATTTTATGCTGTTCGTGTTGATTTAATTGAAATACGACAGTTACTTGGTGATTCTGATTTTTGTTAGTTTTTGCTTCAAGAAAATAAACAGCTCACGAACCTCATAAAAAAAATGAATTGAAATTTAATTTCCTTTATTAGTTGGAAATGAATTTCAAAAAATAAATGCTTAAATGAGAAGAAATTCAAATTAAAATTACATTTCAATCTATTTATAAATTTAATTTAAATTTGATATCTTACTTTGTCCCTGTCAGATCACATGCAACGCACTGTCCAAGTGTGGCCCAACAACACGACGACCACCACAAGTTTCCCCCAAGCGCAAACCAACCTTCCCCAGCTCATGCTTCCCCAAACGTCATCCGCAAACGGCACCCAACACATCACCGTGTTCCCGCAACAAAACGAAACCGAATTCCGCATCCTGCTGCCCCCGCAACACCAGCCCCAGGCCCAGTTGGCCCTGGTCCACGAGCCCATGAAGCAGCAGTCGCCGTGCAAGAAGGACGTGATGGAGGCGCCCAAGATCGAGCTCATCGACCCTTCCAAACTGATGCCCGCCGACCTGAGCGGCGCCCAGACGGCCCAGTTCCCGACGTCCTTCGTTTTTCCCGGGGGTCAGACGCAGCAGGCCCAGGCGCCCACGGCCCAGGTGCAGTACTTCTACGAGCAAATCACAGGCACCACCGTGCAAATTTCGCCCCAGCAAAACCCACACACCCCCTCTTCGTCGGCTGTGACTTCCGCCCCTGCTGTGCTGGCGGTTGATACTGGAAGGAGATCGCAGGTAAAGAAATTATTGAGATACAAAATCAATTAAGTTCGTTTCAGAAGAAATTTTGATAAAGATAATCTGAAATGTTGAATTTAAAATTTTCAAAATGTTGTTTATTTGTTAGTATAAGTATATGTTTTTGTGTATTTGTTTGCGTGTTTGCGATTCTAGTTCCTATTTTAATTTTTCAAAAGAAATAGTGATTTTCTCACTTGGTTTTTGACGTTTAATATCTTTTAAAAATTGTGCAAAGTTTTACACAATAATTTTGTGTAAGAACCTGGTAAATTAATATAAAAGGCATAGCAAATTCAAATAGATAAAAATGAATTATTTTTTAATTATGGTGTTTTCATCGATTATCATTTTAATAATATTCAATTTAACAAACTTCAACGATAAGACTCCGGTGTAGGTTCCACACAAGAATTTATCATAAACATAACTTGAGCAAATTTATTTATAAACACAATATTTAAATTAAGATTTTTATGCTGAAAAATTTAATCTAAAAATGATTTTAATTTTATTGATTTAAATTAAAATAAATATAAAATAGTAATAAAATATAAATGATTAAATTATATACAGTTAATAACTTATAAATTGTAAATTAATATTTTAAATTGTAAGTAAAATTGATATATATAATTTTTTCTTTATATCTTTTTTTAGGCTACTTCTCCTGCAAACCCAGCTGAGGTTTGTCTGACGCCACCTCCAGAGACTGCCAGTCCGAGAATCAGTCCCAGCGAAAGCGTCCCAGCCGTTCCAACCAGTTCCACCGCTGAGGAGAGCAACCAAGAAAGCGCCGTGGACAGCTCAAGTTCCGAAGTGATCGGGGCGTCCTCGGAAGCGGAAGCCGTCGAGGTCAAGGTTCAAGACGCCAGCAATCAGACCGAGACTCCTCCGGTGAGTGAGGACGAGGTTTCCAGGGACGCCGTGTTGGAAGAGGAGGTCGACGAAGAGCCGCCGCTGGAAATCGACTGCAAAGAACCGGAGCCGGAAGTGGAGGAACCTCTTGAGTTGATGACCCCGGAGACCACGACCCCGGACGAACAGGAGGAAGTGGAGGAATTTGTCCAGCCTGCCCCACTGCCGCCTCCGGTCGATTTGAGTGGGTTGGAACTTTTGTCCAACAGCATCGAGCAATTCGTGGAGAGAGAAAAGGAGGCTGAGAAGCAGTCGACGGTGCAGGTGCCGGCCGAGCCACAGCAACACGTGATTGATGGACTGGGGCTGTTGTGTGCCCTGGCCGAGCAGCGCTTTTTCGAGGACATTGAACAGGAAAAGCAGAAGGAACAAGTTGAGACTGCAGTGAAGCCAATCGAAGAGAAAATTGAGGAACCACCGATGAAGCCGATTCCAGAGAGGATCGACGTCAACCGGAACTACAAAAGCCCAAAGTCGGAGAAAAACATCAAGAAGTTCATCGCGAGTAAAGTTTCTCAGTATGCGGAGAACGGAGGCGCATCCCAGGCGTCGAGTTCGGAGGTGCAAACCACCGAGTACATTGACGCCATGGAGTTGGACCTTCGGATGCGACTGGCCGATTTGCAGAAAAAGTACAAAGCCAAGCAGAAGGAGTTGTCCAAGCTGCAGAATCCCAGGAGGAACTCGGTGGTTTCGGACGACAGCAGCAGCAGCCCTAGCAAGAGAGGCCCCGGAAGACCAAGGAAGAGGAAATTGTCGCCGGCGCCAAGTCCGAAGAAGGCGAAAATCGTGAAGGAGGCGGAGAAAATTGTCGAGAAGCAGGAAGAGACACTTCCGCTCAAGACCAAACCGAAGGACATTTTGAAGCCGCCGACTTTGAATACAAACAAAATTTTGACCTCACCCAAATTCAAACCGAGTCTCTCTGAAAAGTTCGGAACCAAAGCCGAGCAAGAAAAGACGACCAAGGATGACGAAGTTAGCAGCTCTTCAGGTATTATTACATTATTAAGCCTATAATTAATGGGTTGTTATAAAAATTGAATTTTTTGATCAGACGGGAGCTCTCCTGGCTCTTCTTGGCTGACGGGAGGGTTTTCCTCCTTTAAAAAGAGTGCTGACTCGGCGCATATTAAACCGTCAGCATTTACATTTGGCTCCAAACTCGCCAATCCCCTTTTGCCAGGAGGTAAATTTCTAACTAAATGTAAATTTTTAAATTTAGACATAAAAATGTGTTACTTTCTGTAGCCGGTGAAAAGCAGAGATTCCAACCTCTAGCACCAGAACCCCTCTTTTGGTTCTTAAAGCCTGATAAGGAAAACTCGACAAGCCTGACAAAAACTGGAACTCATCAGGTAAAAAAAATTTTTAATAATTCTTTAATTTTTAGTGTTTGAGGACGAAAAATACAAGTTAAATTAGAAATTAACAACAATAAATAAGCAATGATTTAACATAAAAAAAATTTTATATGTTAAATATTGACGTTTTAACTATATTTTGAATATTTAAATAAAATTTTATTTATTAATTTCCTTAATTTTTTTCTTTTCTTATTGCCTTGACAATTACTATGTCTGATTGGGACTGAATTAAAAATAATTTTTATCCTTGTTTAAAGAAATTAAATAATTTCAAAGTTAGGCACATCAGTAAATTCAATGCATTTATGTATATAATCTGGTTTTTGATTGTGATTTTATTCTACTTGTTTTTAAGTTAATTAAAAATTATTTAATACCCAAATGTTAAAAGAAGAAAATTTATTCCAAATATTTGAAGTAATAATTCACCAAAATGTTTCAGTTCGGTGAACTTCCTTCAAACGGCTTTAAGAGGAATCCACTGTCAAGTTCAGAGCCCGAAAGTGACCAAGAAAGCGGTTCACCGTCCCTTTTCCTCCCCAAAACCACCACTGGAGCTGGATGTTCTTCGAGCTCGTCCTCCTGTTCCTCCTGCTCGAGCTCGTCCTCCAAGAAGAGAAAGCCAGGTCGGCCGAAGAGGAGGACCCCAGGCAAGCCCGACCAGACGGCCACAGAAACGATCGTGGCCAAAAAGAGGAGCATCAGCTTTTTACTCAACTCGACGTCGTTCAACTCTGGCTCCGTGGCAGAAAACAGACCGAAAATCAAACCAAAACTGAAGGCGGAAATCAAGTTGAAAACCACCCGAGACGACGAGGACGAAACTTGGCCTCAGAAGAGCGAGTCGACGACCTCGGCAGTGCCAGAAAAAGTAGTTTCTTCGCCCTGGGTGAGCAAACCTGTTGTGGAGCGAGAGAGGCCGAGGACCATCGACGCGGCGCAGCGTCTCGGCCCGAAAAAGAGACCTTCGACGGGCGGAAGTTCCAAATCGCCGGTGGCAAAGCAGCGTTCGAATTCTACCGAGGTCAAGGCCAAGAAGGCCTGCACGGAAAACAAGGTCACGCTGAGAACTGCGAGAAAACAGATGTCCAGCGGCTCAACCGAAAGGCCACTCAAGCGTCCCTCACTAGAGTCTTGCAGCTCAGTTAATGGTAAGAACAAAATTGAAAGAAAGTTAACATTTATTTGTGGGAAATTTAATTTTTTAAAGCAATATTTGTGTCAAAATTTTCTTTAATATTGAATTTTATTTCATTTATCTTTTCCTAATTGCAAATACTGATTTGATTTTTTTAATTATCATTCTTATTACTTTTATCATTTATGGATATTAATTTCATCTCTATTTTGGAAGACATTTTCAGATAAAAGAATAAAATCGGTATTTTTTTTCTATTTGGAATGGAGTTTCTGTTTTTAGCAAAGTTATGACTTTTTTATTGAAAACTTCCATGCCTTGTATCATTCAATTAAAATAAATTGATAACTTTTTTCAGGACACTTGCTTCCTTGCACTCTGAGCTCTGAAGACTTGGAGGGACAACCCCGCGCAATGAGAGTGATGGGTGGGTTGGTTTACGCAGGTCTGGTGACCGCGATCCGTGCGCCCGACCTTTACGGTATTACTTTGGACGGCGAGAGAGGTAACAGACCGCACATTCTGTCGAGAGAGGAGGCTCTGAAAGAACTGGTCAGTAATTTGTCCTTTGTCCGAAAACTCTTCTATGTCATTGTGTATTCAGATAAGAGAGGTGCAGCCGTCAAAAACCGACCAAGTCCCACCCGGGACCAGAGTTTGCGCCTATTGGAGTCAGCAAAGTCGGTGCCTTTACCCAGGGACGGTTGCCGAGCCCTCAAGTCCAGATGCCGAGCTGGACGCGTGCTCTGTCAATGTTGAGTTTGATGACGGCGACAGCGGAAGAATCACACTCGAAGATATCAGGATGCTTCCGGCTGGCTACCCAGTAGTTGGTAAGAAGTGTGAAAAATTAATTACTAAAAATTAAGAATTAAAATCTAATTCTTAAATTCCCAATTTCCCTTTTTTTTTATTTTAGTGTTAAATAATTTTTTATTATTTTTGCAGAATATGATCCAAACCCTCTGCTGTCTTTGGCAAAGAGAAGAAGGGCCGCATCAGGTGCGAGTAGCACCGAGGGACGAAGGGCGAGCGTTGACACCCCTGTCAATCCACCCCGAGAGCAAAAGCAGAAAAGCCCCAGTCCTGTTGTAACGCCAGCAGAATCAAAAAAGAAGGTTTGTGGAATTATAATTTTTATTAAAAAATGTAATACGATTTTGTTATCTATTTTTAATATATCATTTAAAACCAAAATCTAAAAAAATCCATAATATATGTAAAAATTTATAAAATTTTCTAAACATATGGGTCTGATATTACTATTTAAAGAATTTATTTTTGCTTTTTTAAATTAAACTTTTTTTAGCTAAACATTATAGATTTGCAACCAACTTACAAATTTAATTGAAATGCATTTTATGATATAATAATTCTGATAAATTTGAATTTAATCTGTACATAGAGAATTTTATTTCTAATTCCTATTTTATAATAAAAATTCATGAAATTTTCAGGACACAGACTCTGGGAAGAACAGCTCGTCCAACAAACATTTGAGCGACGAGGAGAGAGAGCGTAAAAAGCTCAAGAAAAAGGAAAAGGCCAAGAAGAAAGAGAAATTGCGCAAGTTGCTGGCTCAGGTGGCGATTAAAAACAAGATTTCGAGTCACAAGAAGCACAAGAAACACCACCACAAGCACCATCACCACAAAAAGAAGCACAGGCACAGAAAGCACGGAGACAAAGAGTTGTCGAGCAGCGCCACTTCAGACTCCTCGACGACCCCTGAAAAAACTCAAGTGACTCCTCCACCTCCCGTGTCTGACGAGATAGAACCAGAGGCGGAGAAAAAAGCCAAGGTAATTTAGTATGAAATTTAATTTCAACAATTTTAATATATTTTTTTATCAAAGCAGTCTCCGAAAAAGAGACAAGAGCGACAGTCGTCCGGAGAAACCAAGAGCAAGATGGCAGCTTTTCTTCCTGCCAGGCAATTGTGGAAATGGTCCGGAAAGGGCTACAAGAGACCTGGTGGCAAAGGCCGCGGCAAGAAGGAGTTCTTCAAGTCAATCCAAAGAGGAAAAGAGACTATCAATGTGAGATTAAAATACAAAGTTAAGTCAGAATAATATATAAAAATTTTTAATTCAGGTTGGCGACTGTGCAGTTTTTCTTTCGACGGGCCGACCTGACCGCCCTTACATAGGGCGCATTGAAACCATGTGGGAGTCTTGGGGTGGCAACATGGTGGTCAGGGTCAAGTGGTTTTACCACCCTGAAGAGACGCAAGGAGGAGAAAACCTGGACAAGCTGAAATATCCTGTAGGTTTTTTTAAAAACTAATGAGGGCGATCCAAAAGCCTAACCTGGCCCAGGGTAACCTGACTTAGCCCCGGGTTAACTTAGCCCCGGGTTAACTTAGCCCCCCAGCAAAATTGAATGGCGGGTTAAATAAGCCCGGGCCAGGTTAATTTAGACCAAGACAAGTTAGCCTTTTGGATCGCCCTCATTATTTATAAAAATTAAAAAAAAAAAATATTTTTAAATTTAAAGTAATAATTAAGAAATAATTATGTTTACTAAAAAACACCTAAAAAAATATTAAGTCATAAAAATTAAAATTGTCAATTAAAAAAATTGTCTCTTTAAGACAGCAACATTTATTTAATAACAAAAAAATATTTTTTTTTAATTAATTATTGAGTTGTATACACATTTAATCTACTTTATTTTCAATTTGGCACTAAATTAGGAATTTTAAACATTTTCAGAGATATAAATGACTTTTGTTCTCATTGTCACTTTTAATTTTGTCAACAGGGTGCCCTTTTCCAATCTCCTCACGCGGACGAGAACGACGTTCAGACCATTTCCCACAAATGCGAGGTGATCCCCCTGGCCGATTACACGAAACGACTGGGCAAGGAGCCGGCGCGCTACGCAACAATCTACGACAACAATGACATTTACTATCTAGCAGGTCACTACGATCCGTCGGCAGGAGTGCTCACCATGGAGCCGGGCGTAAATTAATTAATTACATACACAAAAAACGAGCATCTAATATGCACACCCGACATGGATAATTCAAAATTATTCCGGAGCAGAGCAAAAATGTTTAGTCTAACTGGGCGTACGCAAATATATATCTCTCTATAAAAATTCAAGTAGTTGAAAACGTATTTGGAGTTGCTTAAAATTAAACACGTTGTGTGGTACGTCTCCCCAAAATAATATATATTATAAATATATAATCTCGATAATTATTACTTAACCCCGTATTGAATCAAAAAAGAATTACAAATATTTGGATGAGTTTTTTGCGTAATAAGATGGAAATGTATGTAAACGAGCGCGAAGGCATCGTTACAAAGAACTGATTACACTGACTGCGGAGAAGAATTGAAAGTACATTTAATGAGATAATTTTGTATATCATTGTCAGAGAGAGATCGACGGAGGGACGGCGGGATTACTGTCCTCGAAAAAGCTGTGTAAATAAGCCAAGACTGTGAGATAATTCCCCAGGCTACCGTTTATATAAATTGTCCTTACTGTTCACTTTTCCTCTTTACTTGCACATATTTTCAAACAAAAGTCACGAAATTCTGATAAATATCAAAATACTTGATTGATATCATTTTTGTCCTAAGTGTAAAGTGTTGTCTCTTTTTTACTGTGGAGAGCTGTGTCTAATTATTACAACTTATGTGACTTTTATTACGCATTACAAATAAATTACCAATGCTTTGAGATACTAGATTAGACTAAAATTTGTAACATTAGAATATGTGATTACGCAACCGGGAAATGCAATTTCGCCAAAACGTTCCGGCTGCTTTTATATTGTGATTGGTCAACTATGTTATACGATTGTATCAAATAAGATTGGACAAGTCTTCGAATTTCTTAGTCAAGAAAATTTAACATAAAAAAAAAATGCTTTTCCTATAAACAGCACCTCCACAAAAACAAACACGATTTTGAATATTATATATAAATTATAAAAAAAATTATGCACAATTTTTTTTATTACGCTATAAATAGACTGCGCTTATTGTTTTCACTTTTTAACTTCACTGAATTTTCTTGTAATATGCTTTCATTTTTAATTTAATCCACCAAATACGCTTACAAATTAGTTCTTTTAATAATTGAGGGGTTTACTGATTATATCTGTTTGACACACACGTAATATTTTCAGCTTATTAAAACAAGAATATGATGGGAAATCCATATTATTATTAATAATATAAACACGTGACACACACACAGAAAAAAGGATAAATCAATTTTATTCTTCACTATGTTTTATAAGTGTATACCTTGTAAATAAATAATAGACGCTACACACCGTCAAGAGGAGAAAAACAAAAATCATGAAATAATATTGTATGGAGAAATAATGTTAGCAGCGGAATATATTACAAAATAAAATCAATCGATAAACAAAAAGAGAAAATAATAAAAATGCCAAAAAATCACTTGTGGATTTTTATTTTTAAGTTTATTCCTCATTAATGAGCTACATAATATATTAGAAGAGAAATTTATTTAACAGATAATTCAATTTTATCACATAATTTGCTTTGGAGTTTGGTGACATCATTAATTTCATCTGGTCCCATTAATTATGAAAAGAAAAATCATCAATGTAAATTGCTTCTATTCTCTCAAGTCTTCATCACTGATTGACCGAGGCATCAATTTATTCTTTCTGTAATAAAAAAGTAAATCATTAAATTATTATATAATTATATCAAACACTGGAATTTATAAGTTACATTGAAAAATATTAGAATAAAATAATAATAAATATTTAAAAAAAATCATTATAAATAAAATATTAATAATAAAGGGGAAAAAATTTTTTTATCTTACAAATTTTAGAATAAATAAATTAATTTAATTAATAAAAACACTATTATTGCAAATTATAAAATCCAATTTATTATTGTGACCCTCCCTTTAACACTATCTGGAGGGGAAGAGACAAAAAAAAATAAAACAGTTGTTGGAAATCAGTCAGTTTAAGTTTGATCGTGACCAGAGCGCGATCTCTTGTTTTCTGCATCATCATTTTTTTTTATCTCACCTATTTCGTGAGCTTCGACCGTTGCGACTGGGCACAGGTCGCGGAAGTCGCGACGGTTTGGCCGGCGCAGGAGGCGGATGACCAAAGGCCGTGTGGTGCGACTTGGCTGAGGTCGGCGGCTTGATCGGCGGCAACGGCGACATGGACACGTGCTGCTGCCCTCGAGGCGAAGAGGACATGAAGTGCATCGCTTGACTCAAGCTTGACAAAGGTAGGAAAAAATTTTCAATTACATTTTCCAGGCATAAAAATCGGAGCCATGCTAATTTACCAAAGTTACATGATTTCTTTCAAAAATATTTTAAAAATAAAATGACCACAATTAAAAAAAATACCTAAAAAATTTCTTTTTGATGAATTTTATTTTTTAAATTCGTATTTTTTTACTATTATAAAATTTCTTACAATTTTGCATATTTTTTTGAATAGTTATTTTTAACTATGCAAAATCCAAGATATTATTTTGTATTTTGATTGATGAGACATGCCCGATTTTTCACTAATTGTTTTCACACACAATTATTTACCTGAATGTCATATCTGAATTGTGTATTGGAGGAAGAGGAGAATCTCTGCTTGAATCACCAGAACTGCAAAATTGACAAAATTGCTTGAAGAGTGTTTGAAAAATAAATGACGGAAAATTTATAAAATTGATAAATTTCCATTAATTGAAGTGAATATTAAACATAAATTTAATGTTAACACTTGAATTCATGAATCCAATTTCATCAATATTAAACATGTAAATCATTTTCAACTAAATGTATAAAAAAAATTCCTTACCTGCCGGGTGTGCTAATTTGGTAAATTTCCGGCTCGTGTTTGTTGGCTTTGCTTCCTCTGTAAGTGCGCATCATCCGAGGCTTCCTTGGCGTGTAATGCGACTGGACCACGGGCGACGGCGCTGGACTCAAAAAACTCCTGAACAATTTTCGGCATTTAGCAATTGAAATTTTCGAAAGCCCGTGAACAAACTCGGCCGTGAGGATGGGCGGAAGATTCAGTCGGTCGGCGGTGCTCGGCGTGTCGATTTCGGGCTCTCTGGCGTTGTAACTTGAGGTCTGCACCTCCCTCAGGTACTCAGAGTAAAGTTCCTCCAGCTCGTCAGGCAGCGCCAAAGATCTCTCTAAATTTATAAATTAAAATAATAATAGAAATTTGTTAAACACAAAATGTGTACAATTAAAATGTGTGGTTAAAATATAAGTGAATTTTATTGAAGAAGACAATTAATTAAAATCCGTTTAAAAAAGTTTTAATAATCAAAATTAGTTTCTTCTTAATTAGAATATTTCCAAATTACCTTCAATTAATTGTCTCTGCTGGGTAATAATTTGATCGCAGATTTGTCGCTGGCGTTCGTGTCTTCTCAGGGCACTTTGCCGTCTGCGAAGTTCATGCTCCCTGGCCAGGGCAGCGCCGTGGGCCTCCAACCTTTCCAACTCGAGCTCGTGAACTCTGCAGATTAAGGCCAGCAACTCTCTTTCGCCCCATTCGCTGCCTACCCTTTTTGATAACTCCTAAAAGTATAAATTTAATCGAAATAGTATTAAAAATTTATAAAACATGAAAAGAAAAAATAAAATCTGATATTTTTTTAAATTAAACTCTATTTAGATGAAAATTAATTAAAGCAACGAAAAAACTTTTAATTACTTGTTCCAAAATATTTGCCCGCTGTCTACTTTTCTCCAGGTCGTTCTGGGCGTCTGCCCGCACAGCATTCAGGTGCTCCTGTTCCCTTTCAATTCTGCACAACTCTCTCCAAGCTTGTTGCGCTTCTTCTTCCAACTGAGTCGTGTAATCTATTAAAATAACAAAAAAATTTAAATTTAAATTGAGAAAAACTCAGTATTATTACCTGAATCTTCAGGGTCTGTGTGAGACTTTTTTCCAGATCTGCCCATTCGCGCCGCCTTGTACAACTGCCCATGTTTCGCCTCCCACCGCCTCAGGGTCAGGTTATACCTGTCCGATAACATGCCCAGGCCCAAAAGTTGGCTGTCCACCTCTAATAATCTTCTCCTGAAATTATATATATAATTTTGATTAAATTCCCAGGAGTGAAAATTTGTTTAAAAAAATTACCTGGCTCTCATTTGATCTCTGAAGGAGGCCAAAATCTGTTCTTTGATGTCGGCAAGTTCGTCACTCTGCATGTGGTGCATGGCCGCACTTTTCGGCTGATTTCGGATCATGACAGGGTGGTGACTCATGTGGTGCACTCGCGCCGAAGGGTTGTTATTCGCAACAATCACCTCGTCGGAATTTGACCTTTTGGAGAGCAAAACATTTTTTATACTAAATTAAAAGGAAATGAAGAAATCGGGCTTTTCCTCGTTGCAAAAAATTGTTTTTATTCAAAAACAAACGGCTCCACCAGTTTAAAATGTTTTAAAATGTGGTGTTTTTTCAATTTGCTGATTTTTCGTATTTTTTCTTGCTCATGAAATAGGGTCGCAGACCGTGACTAAAACTGGTAAAGCCGTTTGTTTTTTAATAAAAACAATTTTTTGCAACAAGGAAAAGCCCGATTTCTTCATTTCCATGATCAGCTCCTCGAGTGTCAACTTCTTCAAACAAACTAAATTAAAAGGTTTATGATTGAATTAATTAAACTGTTGTTTATTTCCGGCTGAAATGATCTACTATTTGAAAAATTTGTAAAAAAAAAGGAAAATAATAGAGCCGTGTTATGATAGCAAATAAGCTCTATTTTGAGCATTGATACTAATTAAAATGGATTTTTATATAAATTTAACAAGTGCTTTTGCTTCAACAAGGATCATATTCTGAAATAAAACTTAAAAAAATTTAAGATTGTCAAAATATTAAATAAAAAGATTCCTGTGAACCTAAACCTAGTTTTCCTCTATTAAATTTTAGCGCATTAGCCTTTACAAGAGGGGATTTTTTTATTTTGAACCACTTTTCACTGCTGAGATGTCAATGCTTAATTGAATACAATCAAATTTTAATTGAAAGCCTTATCAAGTAACTCTTTTTGACAATAACATAAAATTGTTTTAATAAAGCAGCATAAATTTTTTTATGAATTAAAACAATCACAAACATTTTTGAATGATTTAAATTTGAAAAATATTTAAATTGGAAATGAAGCGATCGGGCTTTTTCTGCAACGAGGAAAAGCCCGATCGCTTCATTTCCATGATCATCTCCTCGAGTGTCAACTTCTTCAAACAAATATTTAAATTATCAAAAATTTTGAAAAAAAATACAGAAAAATAAATTAAAAAGGCGAAAGTTATCAAGCTGAAAAAATAAAATTAAAAATTCTTTTACCTTTCGACGTCCAGTCTGGCGCGCATCATTTCGATTTCGGCCCTGAGTCTTTTCTTCTCGGCCCTGATGGTGGCCTGAGCGGCCATGTACCCTGCCGGCCGGTTATTTTGCGCGGCCGCCAGCGAAATCCTGGCCGCCCTTTCCGCGTACAAAAGGGTCGTTCGCGACTCCTCTCGGCGCACCGACCCTGGCGCCACGTGCGCGATCATGACGCAGCTGAGTTTGCTGCCGCCGCCGGTCAGCGCACCCTTCAGCAAGCGGGTCAGTTTCGAGTCGCGGAAGTTGATGTGGCGAACGTCGCCTCCCCTGGCCAACGCTGTGATGCAGTTGCCCAGCGCCAGCAGAGACAGATTTATGTGCGCGCCCTCCTGAAGACGCTTGCCTCGGTTCTGGAAAAAATCAGACTATGGCAGTTTAATTACTCATCGAACTTAATTAATAAGAAACTTTATTGTTGGTTTTAAATTGGATCAAGGAAATCCATCGTTTATACATCAAGACATCAGTTTAATAAGTTAAAATACGCTTGGGTTTTTATTTTGGCGAAATTTGGATCTTAATATTTTATTTCAAAATTTTGTGTTTTGGTATAGCCATTGATGCTTATAAAGCAATCTCTGTCAAATTGGGGATAAAAAATTATTAAAAAAAAGAATCTAAAATAAAATCAGAAAGCTATTTGGAACATAAATAAGTCATATTTACGGCTCTTTAATAATATAACTAATTAATTGTTACAAATTAATTATTAATTTCATTGAACACTGGATGTTTTAGGCGATTTTTAACTTCAAAGATTTAAAATTTGCTGTTAATTTAAATCTTGTTCCTATTTTGAACTTTGATTCTAATATAGATGTTTAAAAAGTTAGCTATAATTTCGATTCTGAGGATTGTTCATTAAAACTCTGCAAACGATTATCAGTTTGATAAAATGAATATTACTTAAACTTATAAAGTTTAAGTAATTCAGATAATTTCCATTCGAGCTCCACAACCTGGTTCACTTTTAATAATAATTGTAATTGAATCCAAACGTACCACCAGTATAATAATCTCTCAAGTAAAAATTATCTAAGATTTAAAACATTTATATTGGCAATCAAATTTATTCATTTTGAATTCAAGTAAACCGTAAACTCTATTCAATTCCTGTGTCGTTCTTGCTTTAACAATACTTATTATCTAGTTTATACTAATTAAATTTAAACATGTTTAATGTTAATAAAAATGTAAAAGAAAATTTAATTAAGAAAATCATTTAAAATTTATTTAGCAAGAATCTGTTTTAAAATTAAATTAAAATTTGTGTAAATTTATTTCATAGTTCAAGCTTGAAATTTAAATCATTTTTACCTGCGTTTGTGAAGCTCTTTCGGATCCAGCGAGATCCACCATGAGCAAGCGTCCTTCGGGCTGCCCGTTGCCCAAAACAGACACTTGGAGCATCGCGTGACTTCTGGAGGAAGTTCTGTTTGCTGCGGTCGGCTCGACCGACCGCGCTTTATTTCCCCTCTGCAGCAATTTCAACACCTAATTAAGTCATTTTTATGATTAAGTGAAATTTTATTCCCGTTAAAAATTATAAAAAAAAACCTCTTCAGTAGATTGAGCAAAAACTTCCGAGAGACCGGCCACTCTGACGCCGCCACTGCTGTCCTCGCGCAGCTCCAACTGCTGCGAACTGGGGTTGAGCAGGTCTTTGATCTTCTCGTTGTAAACCTCCAGGTAGGACATGGTCACCTGGCGGGCAGGGACCGGTGGCCGTTTCTTCTGGTTCCTCCACGTCACCGGCGTCTCGCTGCTCACGTCAGATTCAGACTCGTTTTTTTCCTTCATCTGAGTTTTAAATTGGAAATTAGCTCCAGTTTTTATTAAAAAAAATAAATAAATAAAACCTCTGAATTTTCGTTGTCCAGCTGGGCAGCTTCTTTGAAAAGGTCATCCAGGGCCCTGACCATGACCCCAGGCTCGTCGGCCGTGCCCACCATTGTGTAGGTTTTGCCCGCGCCCGTCGCCCCATAAGCAAGAACGGTGGCGTTTCCGCCGCGGACCACTTTTTCCACTAAAGATTTGGTCGTTCCTTCGTAAACTTCCTCCTTTTTTTTAATTATTATTATTATTTATTAATTTATTCTATTTTCTCTTACTTGAGTGGCGTCTTCGTCCAGGACAAGATCAAACTCGTATTGCCTGTCGGAAATTCTCTTTTGCCGCAAAACGTCTGTTTTCATGTTGTCCTTTTCTCTCACTATCACCGTCTAAAATAGGAAGAAATTTATATTTTTTCTCAAATTATTACTAAAACTTTATTGTTTGAAGAACTTGAAATTCAAGAGATGATCAAGGAAGTGAAGAACTCGGGTTTTTTTTACAACTATCAACGATGAATAATCCGAAGTTCTTCACTTCCAAGGAAACTTTATTGTTTTAATTAATTGATGAATATTTGACCCTTTTGATTGTATTCGCTTTTATCATTAAATTAAATATTGTAATAGATTCATGTCAACTGGTGCATGATCATTTTAATTGTTCCAAAACTCATTCTGGAAATTGATCTTTATGAATTGTATTAACAAAGTTGAACATTAAAAAAGAATATTTTTTAAGCACAAAGTTTATGTTTAAATAATATTGCTTTATATAAAATACTTATAATATTATTATTATAATTTGTTTAAGTTTTTTTAATATTTTTGTAATAACATATTTATAATATTATTAATTTCTTTAATTATTTTATATCAATTTAGCAAGAAACGCAATTGAAGTAGATGTAACCAATATTAAAATATTTTTAAAAAAAAAATTAAAATAAATACAAGTAATTTTCAACGTGACATTGTGTGTATGGGAGATGTCATAATTGACATTATTTTCAAGTCAGCATTGCCAGCATATGAAATATAAGTTTCAAGTTATCCCCAGTAAAAATATATTAAAACCATGCCATAATTAAATGCTTGCTTTAAAAAAATTATAAAGAACCGAAAAATTGGACAATTCCCGGTAATTAATTATCAAAATAAATAAAAATCTGTCAATCTTTTCTATGAAATTCGTTCTTTGTATTTTGAATCATAAACAAAATGCTTTCGTGTGTGACAGGCGTGCAAAACTTCCGCCCTTGACATTTTGTTGAAAAGAAAGTGCGAACAGAAATCACGCATGTCACACCCACGTGGATATTTTTCATATTTTCTTGTACATTAACGAGCCCGACAATGACCCAGTTCCCCCTTTTCACAGCGTATTTTGGCGGGGTATGCGTGGGAAAATCACCGAGCCTTGGTCTCTATCGCTGGAAAAACACAAACGGTGCCAGTCTCTGTCGCGAATCTACGCACACAAGGAAAGACCTTGATTTTGCAATCAGAAATTCAGAACAATTGATAGGAATTTCCCAAGAGACAAGGTCAAACCACATCGAGAACCGAAACGCAGCTCTTTCTTAAGATTAGAAATCAGGCGGAAAAATCGATTCGAAAAATTTGAATATGAAAATATGCGGCGAAAATTTTATTTATTCTGGACGGCGAGATCACGCCACTTTTATAGTTTGTCCTGTCACGACTTTGCTGGTCGTTGAGGTAAATAAGGCGAGGGGAAAATTAACAAGCATTTTGTTAAGGGCCGCGCTCGAGAAATCGATGCGGCCAAATTGTTTGCCGTTTAGGACAAAACACTATTAAATTATTCCATATCCATAACTGAAATGTTTGTTCTGCGCAATCGGTTTTCCTTATCAGAAAGGCCAGACGAGCGCCTTCAAGGCTCAAAGTTTTTTCATGATTCGCATGCTCGACATTGGCAGAAGTGATTTGCATTTTTATTATGCTGCATGAAATGCATTCATTTATTTATTAATTCATAAGAACTGTTCGGATAAATTTAGAATTTTTTTTTCATTCGCTACTTTTTTTCAAGTATTTCTGACTTGAAATAGGTTTATTGATAGCAAAAACACAAGCAATGATATATTTATAATTATAACTTACTTGCTTAGAATTCATAGTTAATTGCATAAAATAATTTTTTTTCATTTCTCACCATATTTTTACATAGATTTGAATTCTTGGAGAAATGGTTGATTATTTTGCCAGAAATTAAAAAATATCATTAATGCGTAATTTTTATTTCAGAGTAAAATTTAATATTTGATAGCATTTTCTTTCGAAATGAGACAGGGGGTGCAATAAATTTACAATTTTTATAAAAATTGAAAAATTTGATTAGTGCAATTTAATTAATTGGAATTTGTAATATATTTTGCTTAATGCTAGTTAACTACTAAAAATAACAACTGTCAATTTTTCCGCGGTCGCCGCAGACGATCGACAAACAAGAAACCAGATGTGGACGGACGTTTTACCAGCTGTTTGAATAAAGAACAAATCGATCGAGCCGGCGTAATAAACGAGAAGATTCCATACACGTTTCAGGATAGAATAGCGTGCGGCTTGAAATGAGGAATAGCTCTTGGCGTCCATTGGAATAAATTGCCATCAAGCGTTTTATTCCTCAGGCGCGATATGACTGCCGGTCTAGCAACTTTGATTAAAAGAGCCTTCACAAGTTTGTCCTTGTTTGGTTTGTATTTTTATTATTTTCTTCGATTGCAAATGTCTAAATACTTTTGCTGGAATTGCGACCTCGCAACACATTTGCAATGCGAATGCCGAATTCTATTTTGCGAGTGAGCCTTAAATTGAAGAGAAATGGAATTTTATCAGATTTTATTGACCTAAAACATTATCTTCCATCAAATCATAAAGGAATTTTATGGAAATGAAGAGCTGTGTTTTTGATCAACAGAATTTGAAGTTTTATACAAAATATATGTATTGTTTTAAATCGGCAAACTTTTAATTTTATTCTATTTTGTGTTCTCGCCACGAAATCACCTTCAAATATGTTCATTTTTTGGCCAAATTTAATACACTTTAATGAAAAATAAAATAAAATTATATAAAAAAATCGTCAATATTCGCTTCTTCTGCCTTAGTTCACATCTTAAAAAGTTGCAATTGGAGAATTTTTTACTCTTTCAAATGAAAAATCGATAAAGAACAAATTCAGATCCATATCAAAACCTTTCTTTATTTTTTTTCTCGCCTTAGTGACTTTTGTGGACCATTATAACTTTTATTTTCGGTGCCTCAAATTACTAATTGTCTCAACAACAAAAAGGCTCATGTGCTCTTGAATAAAAGAATGTAACGCGTCGTTAGCAATTCATGACCAGAGTGGCAAACAATACACACGGGTGCGGTGATTTGGACTGTGAAGGGCGTGCACGCGACAACCCTTCTCTTTGAAAGGGCACTTCATGCCGCGGTCATTTGACAACAAAACACGTTTGCAAAGGCCTAACGACGAACTTCCAGGGATTAAATAGTAAAAACTTGATGAAATAATCATCGGTCAAGAGCGTGCTGGGGTTTATAGATTCTCTTTTTGGTGAAAAAAAAAACAAGCAATGCGCTCACCTTGTCATCTAAAGCGTAGACAGACCTCCTGATGTCCTTTGTGTCGTCGTGAGGACGAAGCCGCACAGCAACCTGAAATTGAATTTAATTTTGTTAGAACCAATAATTTACCACAAGCATTGATTGAATATAAAATTTAAAAAAAGGTTGTTTCATAATTTTTTTAATGTAAAATTCTCTGCCAACAATTCTTTCATCTTAAAAATGTATTTTGTAAAATATGCAACAATAAATTAAATTTATCAGTTTTTATTTTTGGAGCGGATTTAAAAAGTAATACTTATTATGCGCACTGCCGATTTCTTTGTTCACATAATTGTATTTCCTTCAAGCGATTAAAATAAGTTGAAGGAGATAATTTAAAATTCAATTTCATCCCTTCCTTTTACAAAAAAAATTTTCTTCAATAAGTATCGGAAAAGTTGCGCGTTATTTTAAATATTGAATATATTGATGGTAAATATTAAAGAAATGAAGAGTCGGGCTGAGGAAAAGCCCGACTCTTCATTTCCATGATCATCTCCTCGAGTGTGAACATCTTTAAAGGTAAATATTAAACTAGAAATTGAAAATGCATGAATTAAACGCTTTTATATTCAAATTCAAATTGCCAAGTTTGTAATAATTAAAGTATTTTGTCTTGCAGGTGCCTGTTTTATATGAAATTTTTTTATAATTACCAAATATCCTTCAAATGAAATAATGATAATTTATGATATTATCGGGATCAATGGTTGCTGTTGTTGCTTTTGTTAGAGTCCAATTTTTGTATTATTCCAGTTTTTTCTTTTTACTAAATATTTTCCAACAACTTAAGCGTCCATTAATTTAATGATAAATATGATCATCTCATTTGTTTGAAGAAGTTGACACTCGAGGAGATGATCATGGAAATGAAGTCACGCTTTTCCTCGTTGCAAAAAATTGTTTTTATTCAAATTCATTTCCATGATCATTTCATATTTATGCTTTAATTAAGAGCATTTCGTCAGTCAGTATGTAAATCATTCAACTGCGTCAGTTTCGTTCCAAGCAACAGGCTCTTTGACCTGCTTTTATAAGTTATACACTGGAAACGTCTAGCAGCTGATCAGAAAAGGAGACTATTCAGGTCAAAAAGAAAATTATATCTAATTCAAAACATAATTGAATAAAAACCGAAATCAGTTTTTTTTACATTTCTACGTATTAAATTTATCCTACATTTTCAATTATCAAAAATAATCTTACAACAAGTCGGTCCTCAGGAGGGTTGTCGATTTTCTTCGCCGCCTTCGGTTTTTGGTCCGGAACGCGCGGCAAAGTAGGAACCTGGATCTGGATGACGTCGTGTTCTTCTTCCTCCTCCTCTTCCTCCTCCACCAATTCCGGTTCGCGCTCCGCTCTGAGCATGTCTTCCTCGTCGTTGTCCAGGGCGTTTTCGGCGGGCGTCATCGTCATTTCGACGCAAGTCAAACACACATTAGCCCGCAGACAATGTTTGCCCAAGGCAGCGACTCGCAGCACTACTCGGCGATTGCACTTGCACCGCTCCGAGTTCTTTCCGCTCGCATGCGCACCCCTCGAAAACAACCCTAGGTCACGCCACGGGCCAAGGGTGACCAAGAGAGGAGGGGAGCCGCGTGTCGATAAACAATTGCCGCTTCTTAATTGCAAATTACAGCCGGTGTTGTGTACGAAATTACACCTGTGTTTATTTTGGGCAAAAAGAACATTCTCTAATTTTTTTTAAAAATATTTTCCTAAAAATGCGAGATTCGGTGACAAAGTGACCCAAATGTCCCCAGTCTTTAAGAAATCGATGGCAGTAAAGATTTCCCAGCATGCAACTTGCTGTGCTTTTAGTTCGTTTCACCTTGAAATGATAATTTTTCCGGCGGCGAGCTTGTTAATAAATTGTGTCGCTCATTCTTTCTATGGCGCAGGCTTATCTACAGAAGCGCAGCATTTTAAATTATAATTAAGCAGGTTTTTATCAAGGAAGACACATTTTATAATCTTTGTTTTAAATTAACATTTTAATAATAAATTACTACAATAAATAAAAATAAATTAAAATTTCAGCTAAATATCGTCTGCAGTTTGCGGATTTGTTTTTTCTTTATCACCGGCATCTTCAAAAGTCTTGAGCGTTCAGAGCCTCTTCTGAGCACTTTGTTCGTTGGTATGAATTAATTGCTCTGAAATCATTCGAGAGCGTGTTGGGTGATGTTCTTGTTGGCGCCGAGGAGTTCGCGAGCGGCCTTGGTCAGTTTTTTGGACACAACGCTCGCAATGTGGCTGGACCTCTTCCAGATGAACTCGCGGGTCTGCTCGTGATCGTCGTCACTCTCAACGCGAACCTTCAAATTTTAACATTTAATAATTAACACAAAAGAAGAAACACTTTGAAATAATAAATTATTAAAATTTTAAGGTGGGGAAAAACTTATTTGTTTAAAATCAATTCATTTTTTGCAAAAATAGCACAAATACCATAACAATTTCAAAATTGAGTTTATAGAATCACCTTAAAGAATTAATCAAAAATATCTAATGTAACTTATTTTAAGTAAAAAAAAATTGTTATGCTTAAAAAATTGAGAGAACATAAAAATAACTATTTTATTTTAAAAGAATAAAAAAATATAAGTCGAATATTTTACACTAAAGCTAAATCCTAATTTTATACAAAAAATCTTAATTTTGAAAATATTATCCATCAAACAATTTTATTAATCTTTTAATACCTGCTTGGGCTGCAGAACTCTGATGGTGTGCATGGAAGCGACTCCAGTCTGACTGACCCTCAAAACCATGCGTCCGCTCATCTTGTCCGTAGTGGCAGTTGCGCTTCTCAGCTCTTTCTTGGCTCCACGTCCGAACTGAAATCATTTTCCCCGTTTTATTCAAATTATAAAAACCAACACTCATTCCTCCCCTTTCAAGGCCGCTCATTTGAAATTGATATTAACCCCCGGACAACATTATGAAAATTAATTCCGGCCCCTGTGGAACGCTGCGGCGGCGCGATTTGCGTGCAAATCCTTGCCTCTGGGCGTCGAACGCCTGAGAAATGCAGATTAGGCAACGCGCTCGACACGCACGCCACGCTGCTTGCCTACCGCGTCCTTTAATAATGAGAAACCTCACCGCTTTCTCCACTCGCAGCACCAGGGGTCCGATGAGGAAGTTGCTCTTGATGGTCGAGTGGTCGGCGAAGTTGGTCACTTGGACGTCGCCGTCTCGTCGCACGGAGGAAAGTCCGATCAGGGTGGCGTGGGCACGCTGGGCCCTCTGCTGGTTCTAATTTAAGAAATTTTTGTTGTCAAAAATTATAAATAAATAGTTTTTGAATAATAATTAATTTTACTTAGAAAAACATTATTTTTTTAATCAGAGTTTTAAGTGAAATTCATACTTATATAATAAAAAAACCTACCTTGTTCTTCTTCTTCTTCTGCTGGTTGTTTCCGATGGTGCGGGAACGGTGGCTGCGGACACGCTTGGTTCTGGTCAAGGGAGTTTCCGAATCGGACGATTCCTCTGTCAGATCAACAACCTCATAGGCAGGGCCAACGTCGGAAGTCCTAAACAAATCAATATTTTAATTTTGCAATTTAACAACCAAAGTTATTTACAAGTGATGATAGTTGGCGCTTTTTTAAAAATATTTCCTTTAATGAAAATATTTATTTAAAAAATTGGGTTTGAAAAAGTTTAAAAAAAAAATGAGACATGCAAATTATGACTTTTTAATTTTAAATAATTAGATTTGATTTGATAAAAATACCTGTTGACTATTAATTACTAAGAAACAATTATGATTTAGTAAGGCTAAATTTAAGAGCTAATTTACGACTAACAAAAAGGGATCAATAATTTTTTCTTTATAATTAATAAATTATTACGTTAATTAATCATTAACCCTCATTATTATTTTATTTCAAATTACTTCACAATTATTTAAGATCCTTTTATCCCTACTTTATAATAAACGAATGAAGTTTTGAATTCTTAATTGTTAAATTATTGATAAACTTAAAATACCAAAATTAACTTTCAACCAGCTTATTGCAAAGCTCTAGGCCTTGAAGCTAAACTGTCGTCTGTGTTTGTCAAGTAAATTTAATCCCTCTCCCCTGATATAATCCCAAACTCACTCGTCCAAAGTTTGAACTTTCGGTTCGTTCTTGACAGGCTTGCGGCTGGGATTTTGCGTGCCGCGGGTCAGTTTGATGGACACGGGGTCAAAAGTCGTCTTCAGGACGTCGTTGATCTTTGAGATGATCGTGTCGACGAATTCGTTGTACTGGACCAAGTGTGCGGCGGGAAGATCCTCGCCCTTCAGAGCGCCTAAATTTTTGTTTGCGAGGAAAAAAGCAAATTAATCAAAAACGTGCCAAATCGCAAGGGTGCGCAAAGAAATTAGTTTTCCAGCCGAAAAAATGAGTTTTTTTAAACCTCTCGGGAAGGCGTCCCGACAGAAATCAAGCGAGTAAATAATAGAAATGAATCGGCAGAGAAAAGAATCAATGCCGACTCAGCGCTGCCACGCAATTTGTTTACTCGCCCCTTCTGCAGGAGCCGCCCTTGAGTTAATTTGTAATTCATGAAAATAGGGTAAGAAGTGGAGCAATCGAGAGTGCTGCTCTCGAACGTCGATATCTGAGTGGTCCACCCGTCGCCTGACACACAGAGGAAGTTTGATGATGATGAAACTTTGCCCATTAGTTGCACGTTCACCGCATTTCGAAACAATTATTTTGATTAGTAATTGACTTTGCAAATTTCGTTGCTTTATATATTAATGAAATTTATTCATGCTCAATGATCCTGTGAGTTAATTAGATTGATTATTTTGTGGATTGTGATTTGTGATGTGGATGCTTGTGGAGGAATTTGTAATTATAATGATTTGATATTTTATATTTAGAAGTAATGTATTTTTATATTACTAATTTACTAATATAATTTAAATATTATCACGCCAGAAATTGCTACAATAATTATTACTTGTTAAATATTATTTCATATATATATTTTTTGTCTGAACTAGATCAGAATATATAAAAAATATATTTCTAATTAACTAAAATAATTTGTAAAAATAATATTTTTTTGGTAAAATACAATTTAAAAAAAATAAGTAGAATTAAAATTTAAATTATTTTTATAAAAATATTTTAGTAAAATAAAAAAATATGGCTTAGAATTAATTATGGTTTTTAAGTTAATTTGAGTTTTAAGATAAATGTTAATTAATATAATTTTTTTATTATTATTATTATTTATAATGCTAAAGGTAATGATAAGTGTAGAACAATTTATTGTGGTGTGAATGTGTGTTTATTAAAAGGGAGTGTTATTTCATATAGAGACAAGTATGCGCGTGTGTTTTGTGAGCAAGGTGTGTGTAGGTCATCTGAAAGAGGCCGCTAAGGCGGAAGCTGCTTTATTATTATGGAGAAGATGTTAGTAGGCCAGTCGTATACTATATATAAGCATATGTAAAGAAGCTGCCTGTTGCTATGATAACGGGTTCCCTCCTCGTCCCCGCCGAGAATTCTTTGATGTGCGTTTTTACTCGGAGCGTCTCTCTTTTTTTACTCTCGAGACTGGGTGCAATTTGCTCCGAAAAATGGCCACAAAATTGCTCGCTTTCAAAGCAGAAGCAGAAGTTGTTTCCTCTAGAGAGAGACTGACTGCACGAATCAGGGTCAGTTGACTCACACAAGTCGTTGACACTTTTCACGCTGATTGCCTCGCATTCTTCACAAGAGAGGATTTATTTGAGCCACTCCGAGCGTCGCACAGTGCATGGAAATTTCCTTGATGTTTATACGTCGGATTAATAAAATATAAGCTTGAGATGATTTGATTTTAATATAGTTAGTTGCGATTGTTGACAACTGTCGCAATAATTAATAATCAAGTGACATTGAATTTGCCAATAAATGTTTGTATTTCACAAGAAAATTGTTTCAATTTACATAAAAGATTGAAAATAGAATTTTTTTATATGTGTGTAATATAATGACACAATCAAACAAATAATTAAAAGATAAAATAAAAAATAAAATAAAGAAAATATAAAATTAAATTTTCTTTTGAGTGCCAAACAAACAGAAACTTTCAATATATTAATTTTTACCGGAGTTTACCTCAAATTTAAAACTTCTCCCTCGTTGTTTTTAACTGAATTTTTAATAAAAGAAATATGTACAGCTTCATATTTTGATTATCTCTTTTAACAATGGAGTCTTGCATCAGCTGATTAATAAAGTAAAATCACAAAGTACAACTTTTACTAGCGGTGAATTTCGCCAGCAGGATAGCATCGGGCGGTCGAACAAAGGAAATGGAATCACGCCCGACCTCGCACCTTTTTATGCTCAGCCGAACCGTAAGAAAAAATAATAAAATAAAACCGATTGATGCAAACGGCGTCGCGCGACCACCGTTTTGATCGGCAAACAAAGCGACACTAAATAGTTTTCTTTCGTTACGCGACACGAAAAGCTGAATTTTTATTTCTCCTCGCTTTTAGTACTCGGTCGTCTCTAGGTCACGAAATGAGAAAAGGTCTTTCACCCTTTTTTGATCCTTCCGTTAACCCGTATGTGTATCATAGCCCAAGCACCGTATCATCGCCGAGCGCTGCGTATAAATTAATGGCCACTCGCACTGCATACGATTAGGTAAACCTGTTTCCCCGGCTACGGGCCACGTGCATTCTCTGCACTTTTCTCGCGCCTCGGCGCGCCTCTTTCACGAAAATAGCAACAGAAACAGGTGTGTATTGAGAAGAGAGAGAGAAAGATGTGTTAGGAAAGAAAAATGTGGTGGAAAATCTTAGTCGTATTTAAGGAATTTGCCAAGAAATATTTTCCAATATTAAAGTATTTAAATATCTCTGTGATTAAAATCCACTATTGTGAGCATAAAAAAGTAACACAAATTCTTGGCAAATTCCTCATTCTGGTTAATCTGGTTTTGATGTAGCCGTGTGAAGATGGTATAAATCTGAGGACCAGCAAAATAAAGATCCAATCAACTCACGTGATCTCTTCGACACCTCATCATCATCATCGTCCTCGTCTTCATCATCGTCGGCGAGACTTTCCTCCTCGTCCTCATCAGCAGCATCGTCGTCATCCCCCAAATAATCCTCAATTCCACCCTCACTGGGCTTTTTTACATCGTTATTCGTACTACCTGCGCTCGCAACGTCGTAATCCTCGTCCGAGTCTTCGTCAGATTCTTCAGCGACTGTCGGCTTGGGGGTGGCTTTGGCTCCGGTGGCGATTGTGCTCGACGGGGTAGCAACTGGTGCCTTGGTTGGTTTGGGTTTCGCCGGTGCTTCATCATCATCATCGTCGTCGTCGTCATCACCACCTTTAAAAATTGAAAATTTGTTTCCCGAAAAGAATCCAACACTTGTATATAACTTTTAGGCTCGGAATTAAATGAATTTTATACTTTTTGCTCAATTTGGAACTGAACCGGTTTGAAATTTACAACTGTCCATTTAAAAAATTACTGTGCAATTAAAAAAAAACTGGCCCAAACAGGCCTGAAGCTATTTTTGTTGTATTTTATACAAAATACATATAATAACGGCGAAATTCCCGCACATCTGCAAAAAAACTCAAGTTCATCGAGTTGATACTTAAATCACAAAAGGGTGTGCCAAAATAAATACTGGTTTGGCAAATCACCAGATGTGAATAAATTCCGCAAATTATTAAGATATACAGATGTGCAGTCTTGATTGAAATGGTTAGGTTTATGAATGTCCGTGAGATGTGTCAATGAGCGGTCGTGGGTCGAGAAAAAAAAATACACAATGATGAGGAAAATAAAAAGAAAGAGCAGCAGAAAAGCGCAGAGAGCAGCAAAGGGGAAAAAAGTGGTGCAACCGCCAGACCGATCATTGTCACATTCCGAGAGAATAAAAAGAGCAGCTGATTTTATTTGTAGACAAAAACAATTGTCAGGTGTTTTTATTACTTTTAAATATAGCACATGTACACTGCGACATTAGAGGCTACGAATCTGAAGAGTACAACAAATTATAATCTTTCAAAAAGCAAATTTCGCATCTTTGGTCTGTTGAGCGTTCGCTTTATACAAAAACTGTTCACCATCCCTTTGGCTGTACAAGCTGAATTTGCAAAATGAGCAGAGAGCGAGGAGACAGAAGTGTGTGTTGTTGTTGTTGGAAATGTTTTTGAGTGGCGTTTGTGTGTTTTCGGCGTCCAATAAAAGTCAAAGACATAAAGTCGTCCTCAGTCAGTCGTCACGTGAGTTCAATGTCGTTAGTATACACATAATTTTTTTTCTCGTTTTAAGTTTGTTCGCGCGTAATAAATTAAATAAATAAATAAACACAAAAAATACATGGAAAATAAATTAACTACAATCCACATCTGGTGAGAATTAATTTTGACAACCCGTGATTTGCTTCTGTATTCAACCCGAATGAACTTGAACAATTAAATTCTACTAGAATTTCACAACTTTTTTATATTAAAAAAAAAAATTCACTTGATTTTTGATTCAATCTCCCACCCGAAGCTGTTGGTAATTGCAAAGCGGAGGTGGGTAAGAAGATGAGGTGTTTGGTCGCACTTTGCAATTGCAGCAGGAGTTGTTCTGCACCTTATTTTCTACTTTTCGAAAGTCCGTTCGTTGCGTCTCGCAATTTACGCACTCAACCCACCTGCGAGGATGTCGTCAAAGAATCTGTCGAGGTAGTCCTCGTCATCGTCGTCGTCATCATCCTCAGCCTCGTCCTCTTCATCATCGTCGTCATCATCATCATCTCCGAGAGCCTGCGAAAATTACAACAAAAAATTCAAATTTATTATAACAATTTTTTTTTTTGCCAAAATTAAATCCAAACTTACATCTTCAAGATCGTACTCGTCATCGTCGTCGTCCTCATCGTCGTCTTCTTCAGAGGCGGGGGCGGCGGGAGCGGCGGCGGCGGGGGCATTGGTCACCACCTCGGCCGAGGGGGCGGCAGCGTCACCCTGTCTGCCCATGACCTTGTGCGAGGCACCGTCGGCGATGGGGGAAGCGTTGGCGGCGACGGCGGCCAACACCACCAGGGCCAGGGCGATCGAGGTCCACTTGGTCATTCTGCGGCAAGAGAGAAAACACGACACGTTCAACAGGTGCCCTGGCTGCACGGACTGCGAGGTTGGTCGCTGCCGAAACCGTTTTGATGACCACTCGCGTCCCGCCACCTTTATTAATGCAAGAAAAAGAAGAAGAAGTTCTCCCTCTCGGTCACGTGGCCCCGCGCGTCCCGTTACCGATCCCAACAATTAACACGCCGTAAATTGGCGAGTGTGCAATAAAAAGTGTGTAGGTCTTTACGGTAGGCAAAACGCCGTCATCCGTGAAGAGAAAAAGAAAAAAAAATGTAGCCTTGACATTGACCGGCGTTCGCCAATCAGACCCAAAAAAAATTAAAACGGGATATTTTTTAGAAAAAAAAAATGAATACAAAAATCATTTTTTTTTTAAATTTATAAGAAAATGTTAGACTTGCGATCTGGACGAGATTTCAAGATTTGAATCCAATAATTCGAATATATCCAGCGGAGCACGTCTTCCTTTCCGATTTCGGCAGACCTTTTTCCTCGTAGTTTGTGTGAGTGTGTTAGTGAGCAAGATAATCACCTGAGGAGTTGTGTGGGTAAATCCAAAAGCACTGAAAACACTAGTTGTTTACTCGCGACCGACCAATGCACTTGTTGGTCCTGCGGATGTTGGTGTTCACGCTCTTTTGATTGAATAAAACCGGTGAACACGGAACTTGACTCTATATACCGCCGCCTGACGTCATGCGACCTGCGCAACCGTAGTGCGCCTTCTTCGCAGGTACTGGTGGTAATCCAGGTCACTTTTGTGGAAAAGGCGATATTCGCCTGCCATCCGACGGCTGCCAAAGATCCGGAAAATAATCATTACCCAACGTGAATAAATTAATTTTTCGCTTTTTTTTATTTTTAAAATTGCAAACCAAAAGTTAAATTAATGAAATTTAATTAAAATTACAAAAGTTGGTCACCGCCAGATTTAATTATTTAAACTAGAAATCACCTCTCTTTCTCTAGGAAAGTCATCTGCGCGTCAGGCACGGTTTCTAACTAGAAACGGGATTAAAATAGCTCGCCAAAATCCTTCGGCTAAAAAGGAAATCATCGTAAAAGGAATTTTATAAAATTTAATTGATACACTTTACACTATTCAATAATTATTTTATATTAACTTTATTCACAAATAATTATTTAATAGAAATTTTCATCGGTTTAATAAATTTAATTCACCTTAACACACAATTTTTTTCTCATCTTGTAATATTTCGTTTTTTTGCATTGAAAGCTTCGCTTAAAAATTTTTGTACCTCTATCATAATCTGTGTGGCTTTGTGCGCACATTTTTGGTCCAGATCGATTTCACACTCATTCCGAGAGTATTATTATCGCCTCGAAAATGATGAGCACGCGGTATTTATTGCGCTGATCATTACAACCCTCCGAAGAGAAAAGCCATTGGGACTCGCAGCCTCGTCGAGTTCGCTCTACTTTTTACATGTGGGAAAATAACTTCACCGCTCTGCTTACTTGATAAACAAAGGCTTTATAGTATTGATTTACGCCAGCATAATTCTCTTCCATTTGATATAAAATTAATTGGTGTCTGTTGTTTGTTAGAAGTTTAAATTGACAGGAAAGAAATTGGATCAGTCTTGCTTGGTGTTTTATTGATAATTTTCTGTCAGCAAAGAAGAGATTGGGTTTTCTCCGTAACATTAATCTAAATTATTTCTTCTGCGAGGATAAAACAGAAGATCATTCAAAATGGAAATGGAGCGAGGCAGTGAACTAATTTGTGGTTTACACTTTCTTAAAATTTTCACTTTTGTATGAAATAAAAAGAGATTTAAATAAATTTCAATATTTTTATCCATTCTTTTAAGTTTGCAATTATTATTTTTCCTTGTCTGGAGCAATTTTTTTCACAGATGTTCTCCAATAAAAGCCGATTTCTTTTCTTTGACAGTTTTTTTCCATTACTGCGAGAAATCAAAAAGCAGTGGCTTCGAACTCAAACAAAGCACTCTATTCATCAGCTTGGTGTGTTATTTGCTCAGAAATTAGGCCCTCCCAAGAAGCGATCCGACTTTCCTGCTGGTGACGGATGAGAAGAAAAGAGAAACTGAATGACAATCAGAAACTTCTCAGAACGCACAAAGGAATGAGCTGGCGGGATAAGAAAAAAAATTGTGTATGTGTGTGGTTGGAAGAAGAGCGAAGAAGTGAGTGTAGAAAAAAAATCAAAGGAGAACACGGCCTGGTGGGAGTGGTCATACCTGAAGAGCGGCTCCAAGGACTCGATATTATACAAAAGGCGCAGCACAGTTATCTATCCTATGCGTGGAATTAACTCTCATCATTCCGACACGAACGTCCACGTAATTAATTTCATTTTTAATCACTCGGCGCTAATGGCTCTGATCAGTTATGCGAATGGGGTCGAGATTGAAAAGAATATCCAATAAATATGAACATATGTAAAATTGTAGCGTCGGGATCGAAACTCATTTTATTTTCGGGACCCTTGACTCTTCGGCGGCTCCAAAGTCAAGGTGATCCACGGGAGAAGAGGCGATCCCTCTCAAACAGCGGCCGCACACTCTTGAACTTCTGACACACATTTCACCACCGGTGAACGCGCGGCAGCTTCATTAATGCAGCGCGTCCATTCATTCGTAACGTGGTGCGGTGAAAATGGAAGTAATTTGCACCAGCGTGGTTACAAAAACAAGTACGCCAAAAATTTGGCCGCTTTATTAATAAAATAAAATAAAAACAGTTGATATTAAATTTATAAGGGCAAAGTTAAAATTTTCATTTAGCGGTTTGTATAAATATTAATTATTTTTATTAATTTTTTTTACCATTTGTTTTTCTTATTTTAAAAGTTTAATTGCATTTTATTTTTAAGACATGTTTTTAAAATATTTTTATAATGATTTATCAAATGAATTAGACAAACATGAACCCAGAAACTCAAGATTGTTTTTAGATAATTAGTGCCCTTACATTCAAAGTTCCCTATCTTTATAATTTCTCTCATAGCACTTTATTTAAGTTGTAAAGAGTTTGAAACTCATTGCCAGATCAGGTACTTTTTTGAATAAAAATATTATTTCTAATTTAATGAGAGGCAAATAGACATAAAAGTAAATAAATTTATTAATTAAAATATAACTGGCTAAAAGAATTTTGTAAGATAATTTTCTGAAAATAATATCAAATTAAATTTGCAAATTTTATATTGCATGGAGGGTTAACATTGCCTGGACCAAATTAGGCATTTTGATCAGCCTCATTATTATTATTTTTTTTTTTCAATATTTTTCGTTAATCTTTTTGCGCTTGAAACTTTTTAATGTTTAGCATAAATTTTTCTCGATAAAATGTCATAATTTATTTGAATTGTTTCTAATGTGATCATGTGCGTTACGGAAACGCTTCCCTTGTTGGAATTTTGTCTATTTTGGATTTATCTTATCTTCATCATCACCAAAGTGAAAATATTTTAAGCACCAGTTTCACCCGAGATGATCCTGCTGGGCAAAAGGCAGCACGCTTCGTTCTCGAGGCGCGCACGACACTAATTATTGATGCGATATGTATTTCATAACCCACTTTTGGCGGCCGATCGTTTTTTAACTGGTTTTACGAGGATTCTTCTCATCGCCAGCTGCTCCTCAAAAAAGTCGATCTCTTCACCAACAGCACAGCAGACCTACTTAACGCATCATCTCAGGTCTCGAGCTATAATATGGAGGACGTCAAACAAGAATAGCATTTGTTGCCATTAAAATCCAATCATCGCACTGAGGAGATGTGCTTTGACCACTTATACTGCGTGAATTAATTGTTTTCTCTCCAACTCGCTGCTTTCCTTTCGAGCAGGGCCGCCTTTCTTTGTTCTTCATCATCCGCCGCGTCCGTGGAAAACTTGATTTCTAATCTCCACTATTAAGTTGCGAACGAACAAAACAAAAGACAAAAACTGCCGCTCCTGCCAACTGTGTTAATCCTGATTTCCTTTTCCCACATCAATAGTATTGGTTATTTTCAAATTAAGAATAAAGATAATTTTAATTAATTTTTAAAAATAAATAACAAAATCTTGTAATTTTACTACTATTAATAATCTTTTGGTACAAATTCCAAAGGAAATTTTTCAAATTAAAAAAGACCTCAAATGTTTTCAATTCTATTAATTTATATTTATTTTTACCTTCCAAAATTTCAGAAGTTAATTATTTTACAAATGATTTGCATGATTCTGCATGAAAGTAACGTTTCTACAATTTCTACTGTTATAATTATATAAGTCCATACTCAGGACGCTGAGCCTGCTCTGAGCATTCTCGGCTGGCGGCTGTTTCTACGGTGATGGTATTATAATTAGTCGGATTAGATAAACAGTGTCTTCAGGATGGTCTCTCTCGGTGTTTATTGGGCCATGGAATGAGACTGACCCCGATAGATGGAAGCGCTTCAAACACACATGCACTGCCCAGAAATTGAACGCGTTCACAGTTATCGCTCGAGTTTCTCCTGGCACACGGCATTGGCAAAATTCTGTTCGCACCATTTCCGTCCTTTGATTTCATTGATTTCTTCTACTTAGAATCATAAAAGTTGCATTCAAAAAATTCAGACTAATAAATTTAATAAAAAACAAATTGGAGAGCAAAATTTTCTTAAATTTTTTTACTCATGGTGAGCAAAAGTTTCTCTTTTTATTTACAATTTGAATGTAAACCTGAAATAAATCTTTGTTGTTTTTTAAATTACCGTATCCTAAAAAGCTCAGGTTTTGCTAATTTGATTTATTTTTCTCTCTTCCTCGAAAGTAATTTCATTTTAATTTCAAATAATGCTTGCGATGTGAGGTCTTCGCGGTCCAGCGGCGTGGATGAAGGTCAAGGCCGCGCCTTCCTGGTTGCTCAGCCGCCGTGGTGCGGCGGGTTGTATACACGCATTACATGTAAATGATGATTCCTGGCCGCTCTCTCGCGGCGTATTTGTCGCATTAGTTTAATAACGGAGATTATACATGAACCACCAGCCGGGTTCATCAGAAAGGAAGAGATATAAAAAGAGGAAAGTACGTCTCTCTAGAACACGCTCCCATTCCGCGCCTACTCGACGGATAATTTCGTCCACAATGAGCAATCAAGAAGAAATAAGGGAATTAAGGCTGAGTGGGCATAAATTACATTCATAAGTGCGCGCCGGCGGATGAGTCTGACAGTCTATTCATGTAGCATGTTAAGTTTGTTTGCCTTTTTGTCTGCCTTCTGCAATGTGCGTCACTCGATCTGCATATTTGACTGTTTCACTTTGGGAATGCTGAAGCGGAAGAGGTGTAAGGGTGTACCTGACTTGTATTCTAATTGAATACTAATAAAAATAGCTTGCAAAAGTAAAAAAAAAAATTGATTTTTATTTTTAAAATTTTTAATTAAAAAATTATAAAACAATAATTTTTAAACATTTATTCCAATTTATGTTTAATTTAATTTTTGTTTTGTTTAATTCATTTTATTCTTAGAACAGAAATCAATGCTTTATAATTATTATGCTGAAATTAAGAATAATTTATGTTACATAAATCAAAAAAATATTTAAACCTATCCAATTGGTTTGACATAAATTATTTAAGAGACATTTTCTTGATAGGCCATGTGACTGTGAAATGCATTAAATAACGGCAGGAAATTTATAAAATAATCCAGAAGTAAAATGAATTTTAATAATTAAAATAAATCAATTCAATTGTTTTATTCTTTTACTTGTCCATTCAAAATTACTATAAACTTAATGAATTTTCTTGGACAAACGAAGAATGCAAAAAGAATATCAACTTTAAAAGGAATTAAGATAAATCATTTATATATTATAGAAGAACAGCTGAATTCTAACCGCGAGTTAACTGATCAACTCAAAGAGCATCTCTTGCTTGCTTCATTTAGCAGATTTAACGACCCGCAAATATAATTGCAAGCGCCAATTAGCGCTGAGCATCTTCTCTGCAAAGGACTCGTCTTCCCAAACAAGTGGTAATTAGAAAGAAACCCAGCAGAACCGGCATCTCACCGAAAAATGCTTGTGGTGGAAGAAATACACAAACAGAAAAAGTTGCCCAACCGAGATAACGGTACATTTTTCACTATCACGAGCGGTGACATAAATCTTCATTTCTCCTGCGCGTGGTCACGAAATCGAGCCAATCATGCGTGCTGATTTTTGTTTCACTAATTAAATTTCTCGCAGATCTGGAATTCTCCTTTGGCGCGTGTACAAGTACATTTTTATTGCGTGCAATTATCGGATGCACTTGTCTGCTTTAAGTGCGGCGAGTATGTATCCGGCCGATTGATTGCGCTCGGCCTGAAGAAACTGTATCGGTCCGAAGTATGGGTTTTTGAATGAATGAAGGTTTTGAGGTCACCAAGTCTGCCGTTCTCCTTCTTCCTTTTGGTGGTGCTCCTCGTGTGCATTTCACTGCCTTCTATCACATAATGGAAGTACCCGAATAGGCACGAAAATCAGGCCAATCATAATTTGCTGTTCACTTTTTTGTCTTGGAATGCCACCTATGTTCGTGCTCACTTCCGGAGCAACTTGATAATTTTCGCGAGTGGACGCTAATGACGTTACAATGAAGTTGACTCGTCCTACTCTTTGCATTATTATGTGTAAAAGGAAAGTGATCAACACCAAAATTCTTTTTAAATTTACATTTCACACGCAAATTTAAAATTTTAAGTGTTTTATATTTAATATTTCTAGGAAACGTAATTAAAAAATTTAACCTTTGACGATCATGTTTGAAATTGATTACGGAAAACGTGCTTTTCTTCCATCACAACTTCTGAAATAGACTATTCCGCGATACTAGAAGGACCAGCAGTTTGCCTAAATCACAGGCGCTCTACAATTCTATCTTATTAAAAATAAAACTTTGCCTTCATCAATATTGTGTGAAATTTTCAAATAATAATAATAAAACAAGGATTTTTAGATAGAACAATTGAGATCAGCAACAACTTTATTGGGTCTTACTTTGTACACAAAAACAGTACTAAGAAATTGTGACCATTTCCATTAACAACTATAAACAGATGCTCACAATTAACAAATAAAACCATCATTTTTATTTTAAAAAGAGCCATACCAAAACGATTAGTCTCATCATTTTCAATTCATCCTAAAAATAACAGTCAACAGATATAAAACACTTTTCTATGAACATAAATATTTTCGAATAGATTTTTTTACATGAATCACGCATACCAAAATCACGTTTAAGTTAGAAAATATTTCACAAAATCTTCAATCACTCATTTGAGAAAATGTTTATTGTTACCTTCAAGGGAATTCAGTAAGTGCTACTTAAAAAGGATAGATTGTACTGTCTACTTGTAAGGTTTTTGGCTGTAAAATTGCTAAATCTTTAGATCTATTTCAAAATTGTGCTTCTATGCGTAAAAGACGTATCGTCATAAACCATAAGTATGAATTGTGTTCATACAGCTACTCAGATGCTGCATATTTTTGAGTAGCAATTTGTTTTTTTATTTGTAATTTTAACTAGAAACTGACAAAAATTTGTAAAATTCGAGATGAATTGATGCAATTTTTTTTATTGTTATTTAAAAACACAAGCTTCTGTGAGAATGAATTTTTGGAAATGCTCCTAAACCACCCACAAAAAATTATCTTTTTCAAAGCTATCAAAAAGGAACTGCATGCTTAATTTTTTTCAATGAATTGAAGTATTCCCTTGAAATGATCCGCTCTCAATCTGAGCACAGAATTTAAAAATTTAATATATAATTCGAAATTATAGAGATCAGTGTTTCATAATAAAAAAGCAGAAACTTGGAATAATTTGTTGGCAGCCAGAGAGGAGAATAGAGAAATTTTGATCCTGGAACCACAGGTACACAAGAATGCTCAGCCAACGCAAATGAGATTTTACTTTCAATAAGATGCCGCAACAACGGGCACACTCGGCGCCAAAACCAGCTGGTTGGCCAGTGGCGTCGGCTCTTCGGGCTGCTGTGGCGGGGGTGGATTTTGGTCCGAGGACTCGGAGGCGCTTTGGCCGTGCTTCTTCATGTGCCGAAGCATGTTGGTCTTCTCGACAAAGGATTTGCCGCAGGTCCCGCAAACGAAATTCTTTTCCGAGTCGTGACTCCTCTTGTGACTCACCAAATGTCCTTTGCACATGAAATCCTTGCCGCAGACATCACAACTGAACGGCCGCTCTTTCTGGTGGGACCGTTGGTGAAACAGAAGGTTGCCCTTCAGAGGAAAGGACTTTCCACACTCGGTGCAGGAAAACGGGCGCTCGCCTGAACAAAAATTAATTGATAATTTTTCTTTTCAATGTCGGTGAAAATCTCACCAGTGTGGCACCGCATGTGGTTCAAAAGATGCTCTTTTCTCGTGAATGGCTTCGAGCAGACATTGCAGCAGTGAGGCGTTTCCCCCGTGTGCTGCCGCAAATGGTTGGTCAGGTGCTCTTTTCTTGTAAAAGTCTTGTTGCAGAAGTCACACCGATGAGGGGACTCGCCTGTATGGATCCGAACGTGGTTGACTAGATGCTCCTTTCGAGTGAAGGTTTTCGAACAAAAATGGCACCTGTAAGCATAGTCGGATTTTTTATTAAAATTTTTTTTCAATAAATTTATTGAAGTACAGAAGCAAAAGAAAATTGAGGCGATAATATGTTTTCTAATGCAAGTCACAAGTTATACAACAATTTTTTTCAGCTGAATTGAAGTGTGATATGAAGTTGATTCGACTTAATTTTCATAAAAAAAATCATGAAATTCATTAAGATTTTGTATGTTTTTAATGGAAATTATCTACACAAATTGTAATTTAAAAAATACTGATTTTAATAAAAAAAAAATTTAAGCTAATGAGACTAATTAAGGTCAAGATTTGTTACCTGTGAGGAGACTCGCCGGTGTGCTGTCGTATGTGGTTGGTCAGGTGCTCCTTCCTTGTAAAGGTTTTTGTGCAGTACTGGCACTTGTGGGGCGACTCGCCAGTGTGTTGCCTCACATGGTTCACCAGGTGGTCCTTTCTGGTGAAGGCTTTTGGACAAAACTGGCATCGAAAGGGGGTTTCGCCCGTGTGCTGGCGGATGTGGTTGACTAGATGCTCCTTTCTCGTAAACGATTTTGAGCAGAAGCTGCATCGGTGCGGGGACTCGCCTGTGTGTTGCCTCACGTGGTTCAGCAAGTGCTCTTTTCTGGTGAAGGTCTTCGAGCAGAAGTCACACCTTAAAAAATTTAGTAAAATTCAATATAAAAAAGGCGCAATAGCAATGAAATTAAAACTTGTTAAATGAATTGTTTAAATTTTTTCTTTCTAAATTGATAACAATTTAGAATATATCTATTTCATTCCATTTTTTAATTTTAACTTTTTTTATTTGTAATAATAAATTTTCAAAAAAAAAAAATTAAATTAAAAATATTCATTTAAAAATTAAGTTTTATATAATTTTGTTAATTGAATTTTTATTTATTATATTTTTAAAATAAAATTTTTGAAAATTGAAAAAATTGCAACTTTTAAAAGATAATAATAAAAATAATTTTTTATATAATTTGATAGCTAATTTTTTCAATTTAAAATAGAAATGCAACAACAAATTCTGCTCTTCTGGTACGTGAGGTTAATCAAGGTTAATATATCATTATTATTAAATCAACATGCACTTTCAACACTCAAATTTCCAATCTTTATCAAAAACAAAAATTAATAAATGTCATTAGAATAATTGTTTTGTCTCACCGATGAGGCGTCTCGCCTGTGTGCCACATAATGTGATTCGTGAAATGCTCCTTTCTCGTGAAAGACTTTCCACAAATTTGACACCGAAACGGGGTGTCGTTGGTGTGGCTCCTCATGTGGTTGTTGAGGTGCTCCTTCCTGGTGTACTTTTTGCCGCACACGTGGCACGCGTGGGGCGTCTCTCCGGTGTGCCACATGACGTGGTTTGTGAAGTGCTCCTTCCTCGTGAAAGACTTTTTGCAGATGTCACACCGGTGCGGCGTGTCACCCGTGTGCTTGCGTACGTGGTTCACCATGTGCTCCTTGCGTGTGAACGTTTTGGCACAGAACTGGCAGCGGTACGGCGTCTCGCCCGTGTGGCACCGGTTGTGGTTCTCAAGGTGCTCCTTCCTGGCGAAAGACTTTCCGCAGGTGCCGCAAAGGTACGGTTTGTCCCCGGAGTGGCGCTTCTGGTGCCTCTCGAGGCCACTCGCGTTGGCGAAAACGTGAAAACAGACGCTGCAGGTATACAAGCTACCACCTAAATGACACTTTCCGTGTCTGCTTAGCTCATTGTTGCTGTTGAATGCTTTTCCACAAACCTGGAAACATTTCAAGTTGGTAAATTCTTATGTAATCTTAAATAATATTAAATTTTATGGCATAAAAATTGTCCAACCAAAATATTACCGAATTTAAAAGGTATTTTAAAATAAATTTTAATTTTATTTTTAATAGACATTATTTGTAGACGTACTTGACAGGTGAAAGGCTTCTTTTCAGTGTGGTATCTTCGATGCACTATGAGTTGATACCGATACGAAAACATTTTGCCGCAGAGTTCACAAGAGTGAGCCGTGCCGAGTTGGTCCAGCTCTGAGGATTTCGACGGAGGAGGCATGATTTGGATGGAATTGGTGTTGTTGGCAAGGGCGGGGGCTGCGGAGCTCGAGGGTGCAATTGTGATGTCAGTCTGCAGTTTCCCGAACACCTCGTGGTACGCGAGCAGCTGGTTGATTTCATCTACATTAACTTTGTACAAATTCTGGGCCACCTCGAGGCCCAGGGTTTTGGCCAGTTCTGGATCATTGATCGGCTTGAAAATGCTGCCGTCGATGTTCCGAAGCTCAACAGACGCCTTGAGATCAGAAAAACTGAAATATCAATATTTAAATTTTGATTCTTTCGAGGAGAAATTTAATTTACATACCCCAGCATTGCGACTTGTTTGGCGCCTTCTTTGAAAGTTTCCTCTTTTGAATCTTCCTTATCGCCGGCCGGAGCGCCTTTGTTCTGCTCTTGGCCATTTTGACCCAGTCCCACATTCTGCTGTTCGGACAAATTGAGATCGCACTGCACTTCGCAGCTGACTAGACTGTCTGGAGGCTGAAGTTGGTTCGCCGCTTCCACTTTTTCCTTGTTCAAATCGATGGAGGCCAACTCGATTTGGTTCCCACTGCCCTCAGCGGACTGCACCAGCTCAGCCTGGTTGATGGTTTCTAGAGGAGCTTCGGTCTGGCCACTCGCCATGTTCAGCTCAGTCACGGTGCATAATTCTGTTTCTTTTCCATTCTGAAATTTATAATTTTTAATTAGAAATAATAAAAACAAAGATTAAATTTTACTTTAATTGGAAGGCTGTATGGTGATGATGGGCCTTGGAAAAAATTAGTTACGACCCAGTACTTTGCCAAGCTAGGAATGGTTGTGGTCGAAGATCCGGCTTGGGTCTCGTTGGTTACACTTTTGGTCACATTCTGGAAGAAGCAAATTTCAGATTTATTTCATTTTCTAGTAAAATATTACATCTGTTGTTGAGGAGGAGTGCAGAATGACCGTCGAGCTGACTCCTCCGTCCGGTTCGGCGGACACCTCTTGACTAGATTCTTGCATTTTAATCCGACTCCTCTTTTCCACGGTCACATCTTAAAAAGCTGAAACAGGTAATTAAGTATTACTGGAAATTTTTTAAAGAAATTTAATACAAAAACAGATCCCAAATGATGAAAGAAAGTGCGCTTTTTAATATCACTCTGGTAAAATAACGAAAGCAATTTCGCGCCTCTCTCGAATTTATAATGGGAATGCAAATAGATTTTTATGCAATCGACATCAGAATACTAATTTTGTAGCGTCGTGACGTAGTGAAAACAAGGCAGACAGTGTCAAGAGCAGCGAGCCTGCGTCGGGCAAAACAAAAGGGTGCTCAGCCCCTTACAAAATCCGCAACACCCCATGTATTGTATAGATTTTTAACCCGCACGAACTAATAATCGCGGCTGCGGACTTCGCATTTTTGATCGATTTGCAAATTATCCACGATTAATTGACCTTACCCTTCGGGACAAAGTGTTGACTTAAGCGGAGATCGCCCTTTAATTTCCAAGGGCCAAAAATCGATGAAGAAGAAGAGGAATCCGTGAGCGAAAACAGCCGCAATGATTGATGACTCACAAGGGGGCGTGGCCACGAGTCCAACTCTTTCAGGTGAATGAGTCTTACAAGCCGGAGTGTGACGACTTTTTGTCCTAGTTCCTAGACGGCTAGATTATGAGGATGTTTGACGATGAATTCGTCACCTCTCATTAATGTCAACTTGTCCAGCCTTGGAACAATTCAATTCATGTTTTTATTAGTTTATTTTTATCAGTGAAATCATGTGAATTGAAAAATGAGATGAAACATATTTTTACAGTTTTCTTTTATTTGTCTTATTGCAAAATACAATGCTATGTTACGGTACTTACGGTTGAATTACTTTGCTAATTTTGGCTTACATTTATACTTTATCTCATTAATGGTAGAAAAAAATCTAGCTGAAATTAGCCTGAAAAATTACTATATTGGGCAATTACATAGCACTTTTCCTATATTATGTACTACTAAAAATGCCCATAATTTTTATTTAAATATTTTCGATTGATCTCTGCACATTTACAATTTAAAAACAAATTGTGACTAGAAATAATTATTTATCGTTTGTTGGAAATATATTTACATATATTTATCCTGCCAAGGCACTCCTGTTTTTTTTTTACAACCAGTAATAACTTTAAATGCAGTTCACTTTTATAAGAACAACCAATGCACTGCAGTAACAACCTATCGTCAGATTAAAATAATTGACTTTCGTTCAGTGTAATAATATGGAGTAAATTTTATCATTGGACGTAAAGAGAAAAAGGCACAATGAATTTCGACGAAAGTATAATAAAAATTGCCACTTTATAGTTCTGTGGTGATTTCGTCTTGAGGTCTGAAGCCCAAGGGGTAGTAGCTTTCGTAGAAGTAGAGCGAGTTCTGTGACCACTCGGAGGCATTTTGTAGCAGGGCTGGTATTTCGATTGACTCACAACCTTTGGTGTCTTCGTTGTCAGATAAGTTGCCGTCCGGACCTCCATAATTTGGCTGCAAAATTAAAAATTATATTTAATGTATGAAAAAAAACTTGACTATTAAAATGATACCGTTTTAAAAAAAGCAATAAAAGAATTTTAGTAACTAACAGATCATTTAAAAAGAAAGAATTAAAAAATATTGAAAAAGTTCCTTTTAAGAGAAATATTTGCAAACCCAGAACTGATGTTCCCGATTCATTAATATGTAATTTGGTAACATTTTTTCTTTTCTTTTAGTAATTAATAATTACATGGTGCTGATTGAGGGCATGACTTGAGGTAGGCGTCGATGAGGCGGACGAGGAAGTGGCGCCAGAGCCACAGGCGCTCCCAACCCCTTCATTGCTGACGCTCTTTTTATAGCGTCGTAGAGAGCGTTCTGCCCAGTCCAGAAGGGTGTCCCAGTCTGGAGGCGGCGCCCCTAAACGCGCCTCTTTCCGGTTCAGGAGGGTGAGAATGCGGGTCAGGTCACGCAGAACCGTCCTAAAAATTATATAATTGTATTAAGAGAGGTGCTTTTTTATTAGATTCTAGAAAGTAAAAAACATGTTTTTTTCCAAAAGATTGACTTTTCAGCTTAAAAAACATCAAAAATTATATTTGAAAAAGTTAAAATCTCTAAAAGATTTCTAGGAATTCCTTCATTTTTAATTCTATATAATTACAAATAATTTCAACGAAAAATTTAAAAGAAAAATTCTTTTTTTCTTCCATTGATCTTGAATCATAGTTGCTAAAATTTGCAACAAAAACGTTATCAGTGCCTACAGCCAAATTTGGAGCCAATTATAAAAAAAATCATTAGATTTTTTCACCAGCCAAGACTTCATGTTTAATTTTAATTTACCTGTAGGCCTTTGATCTCGAGTCGGTGCCGTTCGGACGATACAGTTCACGCACTTTGCGTCTCGTGTCGTTCAGCATGGCTAAGAAAACGGGAGCCTCTGGTCGAAGGGCGCCCACTTGTTTGGCGAACTCTCTTCGCAGTTGCAGCTCTGAAAAGTAGACAGCGAAATTAATATTATCATCTCATTGTTTGATTCTTTGGAAGCAGACGAAATTAATCACTTTGTCTTCAAGCGTGGGTGATTGAAAAAAAAAATAACACGGCAGTCTTTCTAAAAGCAAATGCAAATACTGCCGCCTCGTCGATTTCTCTCTGTCTGCGAGTTAGCTCAAGCAGATCTCCGCGAAAATTACACTTTTCTCTAATGCAAGCAATGCCTAGCGAATTAATTTGAAAAGATTAGATGATGCTCACGTAGAAAGTTTAAAAAATAGCCAAAATTGATAAAAACACAATGAATTTAAATTAGGTAGTGGGAGAACGAAAGGAGTGACTAAGCCAATTAATTAGCAAGTATATTATCTTTTGTGTCATGTCTGTAATTAATAAAGTTACAAAAAATAGAATATTGATTTCAATTATATAGATCAGATCAAAGTGGATCAAAGTCAGTATTTTTAAATTTTAAAAATAGGTAAAAAAAAATTGTTAAAATAAATTATTAAAATTAATAAAAGATTAAAATATTAAAAAGCTGATAATAAAAATATAGTTTTTTTTAAATTACTTGTATAATAAACTATTTAATATAATTGTTTTTTAATTTTTCTATTTTGTTGTACTAAATTTTTCTGAATTACATCTTTCAAGAATTAAAAAAAAAAAAACACCAATTTTGATGCTCGGCAAGAAAAGCCAGCATTTTCTACAAAAATTTTATTAATGTGGATCAGGTCTTTGGCAAAATGCATGCAAGATAACTACAAAATTAAATTATTAGTAAATATTGAAATAGTTAACTATTTATAAAATTTGTAACGATTAGTTTTTTTAATAATGCAACAAATTTTTTATTTTCCCTGAAACTTTATATCAGCTTATTATTTATTTCAATATTTTTACTGTTTATTCTACTCAAGTTACACAAAAATTGAAAATTTAAACTTGAGCGGAAACGGTACCACTTTTATTTCATTTCACGGCAATTTTTCTTTGAAGTGAACTTTTTTTGTTTTTAAATATTTGCTGCGCAAAGTGACTCACCTTGGGGCGTGAGCCATTGTTGCTGGCTGGCAGCAGATTGTCCCATGGCTGGTGGGTCGCACCTGCTGCTGCGAATGGCGGGCGCGACCGGCGACCGTCTCATTTTGGCCCGTCGGTACGTGACGAAGCCACAGGCGGCCGCGAGCACCAGCACGCACAGCATCGAGCCACAGGCCACGCCGATGAGGACGGTCAGCTCCTGGCCGCCGGTCACCCATCCACCCAACCATCCCGCGCCGACCATTGTGCTCTCTGCGAAAAAAGATTGATAGAAATTTATGATTATTGAAAATTATGAGGGACGCTTTGTTTCAAAGGGCACGACCAATAAAATAAAAATGAGTCACTGTGACTCACAAGGGAACATCGCAAATCTCCAGTAACGAATTTTTGTCTAAGTAAGGCGCCTTTCAATGATTTTAAACTAACTTATTGTTAATTTATAAAAATTATTACATTTTTGAAACAATTTGAAGAACAATATAACGTCAGCTTAAAAAATCAATTTCTTAACATGGAACATAATTTTTTAGTTTCATGTGCTTCAATAAGTGAATAAAAATTAACTAGAAATTAGAGAAACCAAACGTTTACATATAGTTGAAATTGACTTAAAGACAAAATCTTATTCAATCATTCCTTCTTTATCTATTAATTTTTGAAAATTCCCTCTAAAATAACAATTTAAATTATTTTTACTAACCTAACATTTTTTGTCATTCCCATTAACTTTACATCATTGTTTTGCACTAATCGCAAGTTGCATACATTTCAGAGTTTTGAAAGGCAATAATATTGAATCAAGGGATGGATGTAGGGAAAAATATCATAGTTCCTTATCAATTTTTTATATTATGTAACCAAAATCGATTACTGATTGTTCCCTTTTGTCTTTAGAGTTAAATATTTGCTCGGCGGATTGAGTTTGGTTCTTTGATTTCACCAGAGCGCTCTATCTTACACTCCTTTCACTTTTTGAACAATTTTGCCGATACACTGTGATAATTGAGTGTTAAAATTCGCTCCGGCGTGCATTAGTCGGGCTCGTCTCGCTCCTATAAACTTCACTTCTTGCGCGCTCGGCGATTCAGGGCGCCCACGCTTATTTCCTTTTGGCTCGTAAAAACGAGTTAATCGTGCCACACATACTGGACCAACCATGTGAATTGCAAGCTCTTTAATTTCGCTGGCGATGAGTTCATGAGCCCAGTTACGCAGACTTGCAAAAAATTAAAATCATGTGCTACTGACATGCAAAACCTCTTAAATATATTTTGTATAGCTGTTTTTATAAACTCTTTAATTTTTATTTTAAATTCGCGATAAAAATTTGTTTGAAAGTGTAATTATTCAATCATTAAAATAAGTAGTATATATGAAAGGAATTAAAAAAAGTACCAAAAAGATGTTCTCAGTAAATATATTTTTGAATTTTAATCAATATCTTTTGATTTCCCATAAATTTATAATTAAAGATAATATATAATAATTTTATAATTTCCTCACATTGCAACCTAACATTTGTGTATTTTATATATGAAATACGTTTTATTAACAAAAAAATTAAATTTTATTAGTAAATAATAAAAAATAATAAGCAGCTCAATAAAATAAACAAAGTTTTAAACATATTAAATTTGTCATTAATTTTTTAAAAGATAGTTTTATAAATAAGAAAATTTTATTAATTATTTAGCGATCTGTACTTGTCTTGTGATCTTATGACTTATGTGTCCTTGCAATTAATTATGTTGCAAGATAAAAAAAAAATTAACGCAAATTATAGATAATTAATTTGCAAAAGGGGATATTGTTTAGTTATTTTTATTATTTTTAAATAAGAAATCCTAGCTGCTGTAATTTTCAAATGTGTGTTTTTTGTTTTCTAGAAACTTCGCCCCGATATTTAATTTTATGCGTGTACCCAAAACATATAAGCCTGGTTAAACATTTTTAATGTCCAAATTTAGACTCGCGTGGTGCTGCTTGAGCTTTATGGCGAGCACATGGTACACTTTACTTTCAAGAGCCGCTCCGAGCTTTTACTCTGTACAAGAAGGCCATTTCTCAAAAGCGCGCACCACAAGGCTGGGTGAGCAGCGCGTGCTTTATTTAAAAATACGTATTAAATAAGGCGAACATTCACGTCTGCCTCGGGAACACTCCCTGATGTGTGAAGAATTTTTAAACACGTGTTGTGTCTGCGACGGACACAGAAAGAAACACACCTCTGCTGGCATTATAGAAGAGCTCGGAGAGAGGAAGTTCTTAATAATAACATGACTTTAAAGCAATACGGAAATTGATTATGAAATTCATATCATTATCAACACATCTCGGATCGAATTGGAAATTGGAAAATTCAGAAATAAAGGTTCTCGAGGTTGTTAACCTTAAATAATAAAATTTTTAAGAATAATGCAATGATATTTCTAATATTTTTCTATAAAAAAAAAAGAGAATTAACTTTTGGTTAGAATATTAACATAAAATGTTTCATTTTTTTTTTTCATTTGGCTTCTAAATTCTAGATTTATTGCTTCTTGATCTTAAAATTCTATATTAAATTTGCAAGCAGCCAACTAATTTTTATTACAGTGAAAAAAATTTCTTTTTCAATTGTTTTTATTAAAATTCCATGAAAATTTTTTGATCAATTCCCTAATAAAGTTATATTCAGTATTTAATTTTTACATTTATCTAAAAAAAATGAGGTTCTTCTCATTATTTAAAAATTTTACAAGTTCCTAAAAAAATTTTTAAACAGTTTTTTCATTGAATGATATTTTTTAATTAAAAATATATTTGGATAGAGTAATGAATTGAGCAAAAATGAATAAATCTTAATTGGAAGTTACCACAAACGGATGCACGCCTTTTTGAGTAAATTGCAATTATTTTTGACAGCCAAGTCGTGTTTTGACTCGTCCTTATCATTATCACGCATCGGGACAAGGAAAGAACAGTAATATGAGCAGGGAACGCACCAATGCACAGGAGACCCATGTAGTCGACTAGTGAGGACCATTGCTGGCGGTAACCAGGAGGGCACTCGGCCCTGCATTCACGGCTGCCGTGGACGATGACCCCTGCACACTTGAAGCAGCCCGACACCTCGCAACGCAGACATCCCGGCGTGCACGAGCCGAGACTGCGTTGTCCGCTGCGGGGTGGGCCAGGGGTCGTTGAGTTGGCGCCCTTTGGCCCCTCGGAGGTCACATTGCTCGATTCTGCAACAGGAAATTTAATTCAATTTGAGATTAAAGTAATTATAAATTACAATTCACTTCCTGTAAGGGTGAAATTTGATCTTTTGTATGGTAGAATTATAAAAATGTATATTTTCTACACAAAATATAGGAAAGTATTTTTTTTTTTTTTCAAAAGTTATGTAAAATTTATCACACCACTCATGATTTTTAAGAAAACAAGGCTCTTTCTTAAAACAATAAAATCATTAGAAGTCTGATAAGCACCAGCCGATAATTTCCTTTGAAATTTGCTGGACAGTAATAAAATAATAATAATCTTCCTATTTAGAAAATAATTGCTTTTTCTTTGCACTGAAATTTTATTAAATTATGCAAAACGGTAAGAATAGGAGAATTTTAAAATTCTGCAAAAGTCTCAAGTAGTCCGCAAGTCTCAAATTAGTAAAATAGAATAAGAATAAAATGCTTTTTTCGGTGTGAAGAAGATAAAATAATTAATTATGTATTCTGAAATATATTAGAATTGTAGTAAAATAATTTGCAAAAAGCCTCATTTAAGAAGGAACCCTGCATAAAATAATAAAAGAAAAGAAAAACATTAACAAATTCATTCTTTAAGTATACTGCGTCATAAAAAAAAGAGTTGCTACATAAAGAGAAGAAAAAATTTTAATATACAAACACTACAAGAAATTTAATTTGAATTAGTATTTAAACAACGAAACAATAAAACAGCAATATATTTGCACAGTTTAAGAATTTATTTATTATAGTTTAAATAGAATTTTATTTTATTTTAACTTTTTTTTTTTATTAAACACATTTAATATGATTGGTTTTTAAAGTCTATTAGATATTTATATTTAAATTTTATGTTAATTCAATAAATAATACGGTGGATTTCACAAAAACAACGTTAATGAAAGCCTTTAAGAGGCACTGATTATCTCTTCTATTGGCTTCCAATGGAAAAAATATTCTAGTTATATTAAACAATTAATTAAATATCTCAATTATGTACTTGATAATTATTTTAAAAGATGAAAAGAACCTAACTTTTTAATTGTTTGGAATTAAACAAACAAAAATATATCTTCTCTCACGTCCGAGTGGTTTATCAGCAAATCGCAGCTCATAAATCCCCACGCAACATTTATAAAACTTGTACTTTCTAGTGTGTGCTTAATGAGATGGGAATTTCCCCCCATTTTTTTCGAGCAATTTTTACAAAAACTTTACACTCAACCTGCGTCTCCTGTCATCACGTTATCATTTCCCTTAATGCTCGACTTTCTACGCCGTGCTTCAAGAGTGCACTAATTATGCACGCACCAAGTATTAAACCAATAATTTTGTGATCTTAACGAGAGCTCTCGATACTTAAAGGCGAGACTTTAATGACTGCACGAAACTGGGTTTCACTTTCCATAAAATTGCGATGCCAGCCACGATAAAATGCATCAAGAGAGCGATGTTCTGCATTGATAACGACTCGAAAATCGCATTAACTCTTTTAAGAAAAGCAAACACACGATGAATCAACGCATCGTAAAAGCCGGAGACGGTTATCTCTCTTGAATTTGGCCTTTAACACGCAATCCATCAGGACTTTATTTGCATTTTATTACTCTGTTGCTTCAGCTGAAGATTCACTCTTGGTATTGCGTTGGCATTGCAAATACCTTGAAAAGCAAATATTTATTAAAACTCTGTAGGGCATTCCGGACGTAAGCAAGAAGTGTAAAAATATGCCCGATTGCGAAAGTATAAATATTTTTTTAACTGCAAGGTTGTATTTTGCATTTTCTCTTTAACCGTCAATTACAAAGAATAATTTTGGAAGAAACTGAGAAGTTTTGAAGTAATTGCGGGAAAAAAATTATTTAGACTGAATTTTAGAAATTCAAACCCTGAAACATTTTACTTTTTTGCTAGTTTTTGGCGAACATGTTGCACGAAATGCAGACGTAACCAAGATAAATAACACTCTTGGGTGTACCGTTATATTACAGCTGTGGTTGCTGAAATGAAAGGTGATCTGCACAAGGCAAAAAAGCAGCATGCTCAGCTGCTCATTTCCAATGCTGGCAATGCTTTAAAAACGTTCGCTCCAATTTCGCGCTGCAGAACGCGTGCATCCTTTGTGTTTCAGCTGCCAAAGGAAGAAGAAGAAGAAATGTACAGTAAACTTCTTTTGCATAAAGGAAGCGCGGAAAGACAATGAAGAAATTTTGAATAACTGTTTTTCCACCGCAAATAAACAATTTCCTGTTTTTAACGTTATCTAGCCTTAAATAATACACATAGACTGAAGAAAAAGCCAGTTTGATTTACTCTTTGTAATTTGCTAGACTAATCGTATTTGAATATCGTGACATTGTGATTTAAAATAATGCTATAGACTATCTTATACTATCTGGAAACTTAGAAAAAATCTTAAAAGGGCTTTTATTTATTTATTTATTTTTAAATTTTTAGAACTCCTTTTATTTTGTATTAAATTTCTAAAATTTTATGAGACTTATTTTAAAAAATAATAAAATTTAAATTCTTGCTTTTTGACAATGATGAGAAAAAAATTCATAAGAAATCTCAAGAATATGTATTTTTTTTCTCTTAAAACAAATTTAGTTTTCAATTGAGCGGCTGTCTCTGCAAAGCAGAGTCGGCTAAAAAAATTAAAGAACAGAAATATAATGAAATGAACTTTGGATTTATTAAATTTTAAACAACTTGATAAGACAAATGATTCATTAAGCAAAACTTAATTGAGGAATTTGGTAAGAATTTAAAATTAAAATTTAGTCGTACATAAATATTTATCATTTATAATTATTTAAAAAAAGGAATTATTTTCACCATCTTAAAAGGCAGCACAGTTTCATGGTCATGTAAAATTCTTCCATTTTGGTTCAACAATCGATTTGAGAGCACCAAGGTGATCCATTGGCTAATTTGCCATTAGTAAATGTATAACACAAAAGAGTTTCGCCACACACAAAACACTGCGCTTATATGCCATGAACTCGCACGACTTCGGGGCGGAGAAAGTGAACCGAACACAATGCGTTATTATTTGCAGACCACACCAGGTCGTAATGTGTATAAAAATTGATCAGCAATTTCATAATTGGACTCTTAAGCGAGCGAGTTGCGCAATCTCAACACAATAACGGACAAACACAATTTTTTTTTCTCTTCAGTCAGTTGCTGGCACGTTTCGTCGCAGTAAAATAACCCAGTTTCAAGTAAGAAGAAAAACACCTCTCGGAGTAATTAACTTGCACACAGAGCGTGGGCGAGATTGGATATTGCTTTCGATTGCTCTCTCGGAAAGGGGCTTTTGAAAGGTTTTCAAAAGATTTAATTCGAGAGACAGGAGTCATTTTAGCACTTCTTTTCATCTGCTGCATGACTCGCGAATTTGCATATTCATGACTGCATTTGCTTTGTATTCTTCGCGAGCATACGCTACTGGCTCGAGGGCGCACAACACAATATGTATGTATAATGCCATTAAAAGCCACGACTTTATGGCCGGATGCACGACTGCTGCTGAAAATGATCTTTCTCTCTGCAAGAGCGTATATATCAGCTCTCAAATTTCGCACAAGAGGGATTGTGTTCTATATGGAAAGAAAATTCTAAATTGTTGCAAAGTAGAACACGCGGAAGAGTAGACGAGATGGAAATAATTTATTTTCGTCCGAGGCGTGTTCGAAATAGGAGCGTGGAAAATTGCCTAAAATTGATAATAGGAGAAACGGACGTCAAAGAGAAATATGGGCTGCGATCGGGGGCGATTTTAAATCAATAAGAATGGTGTAAAGTAGTCATTTTTATATAAGAAATGTAGGAAAAGTTTTAAGGCAGTAATTAAGTTTCAATTTAATTTAAAGAATATCTTGTTGTTTGTTGTTGATATTAATTTATAAATAATTCAAGTGATTACATTCATTATTTAATCTTTAAACTTATTTGCTTCCTCTTCCGACAAAGGGTTCTCATGTGATATTAATTCCATTACAATTAAATTGACGCAGTGATACGAATATGTTAAAAAATTAACTTTTTATGATATTTTAATAAATTTTTGTTACAAAATTTAACATACCAACAATATAATTCTAAAAAGAAATAAAATACGCTTTTGAAAGAATATTAAATAAGTCAAATAATCAAACAAGTAAAATTATAAAATAAATTAAATTTACGTTTCAATATTAATTATTTAAAATAATAATTAATGGTTAATTTTTCTAATAAATTCTGTCATTTTAATGTTCATTGATTGTCAATTTAATTACTATATTATAAATTCTATTTGATTCATATTAGAAGTTGAAAATTTTTTATCCACTTTTGTTTTTATACGGATGGAAAACTCTTTGCCAAATAGACAGGAAGCACGTCTCTGTGTCAGTTGGTTTGCATTCTTGCGGTGTAAAATTATCCATCAAACACGCCCATCATCAACAATGATCAAAGGAATTGATTCACAGAGAGAGAACTGCTTTGCTCCTGGGGCACACACCGTTATTGTGACGTCACGCGTCGCGCTCAATGGCTCTCTGCAAACTTATTTACCGGCTATTTGCAGGCAGGGTAGGCAAGCCCCGCGCAAAAGGCCATTTAGACGAGAGACACGTCGACTCTCTTATTGTTGCATTCGCCATGCTCGCCAAAACAAAACGACCGCTCTCTGTGTCCAGTCGAGCGTGCAAAGTCGGTGCCAAGAAGCACCAGCGCGCAAAAAACAATGCGCCCTCAGTTTTCGCGTTGGCGTCAATTTAGCACTTGCTTGCAAATTTTCTGCTTGTACCATATCAATTAGATTTGCTTAACAAGGCTTAACGTTGACACAGCCCCGTGCAAGGCACAATTCCAAGAAGAATTTATTGTTTATCTTTTGAAATGTACAAAATGTTGCGAGGGAATAAAAGAAGGCAAGCTTTTCCTGACTCTGCACAATAATGATAATAAATTTTCAAAATTTAACATCAGTTTCTCTGAGCATT